ATAATTCCTGCAACCAGTTATATTCTTTTCTTTATCATTACTATAAAATCATAAGAATACGATTCTGTTTTTGTTTACTTATCCTCTTGGCTTGCTGTATTCCCATATTTAGAGTCTGAAGTACTTGAGAACATTGAGGACCAGAAGCTGAAGGTGACTGAAGAAAACGTGACTGGAGTTGGTTTCTGTTCTTGTTGGATAACTTCAGACCATCATCTGGGTCGGACAGAACCACTTCCTGCTTGGTCCGTGTATGGCTCCATTAATGATCCCAGTAACTCACAACAGGAAGTCCCATGCCATCCAACTTCCTTTGTTCATTTGTTGTGATGTTTGACTGACTTCAGGAGGAAAATCAGGATTTGAACTAAAAAAATGTTTCTGCTCATTTCTGATGCACAAGATTAATCTGAGAAAGAGAATCAACAAATCAGAACATCCAGAGGGGATTTTATTTATTTACTCCAAGCAGAAGGAACTGAAGGACAATAAAAAACCTCTCATCTGTATCGAGGACCTCTGGACCCTCTGGACTCACAGGACCACCGTGGGTCAGGAATAGACATGCAGATCAGCCCGGGGGCCTTTGTGCCTTCAGACTGCGCCTGAACTTCACACATTTTATACAAACCATCATAAAAGAGAGAGAGAGAGTGTGTGTGTATGTGTGTGTGTGTGGAGAGGGGGTCATTGTCTCAGTTTTTCCCTCAGGACCAGAGCCCAGCCCTGCAGATCTGAACTTTGGATCTCTGTTCTGATTCCAGTCTTAGGCGCTCAGTTTAACATGTTTAAACTGATTTCATTCAATTTGCAAAGTAAAAGCTGCAACAGGAAGCTTTAGATCAGCTGTTTCAAAATAAGAGCATTTAAAATGAAGATTTGAATCTCTGAATCTGAATGATAAAATAATTTAGCTAATTCAGTTTCCTAAACCAGCAGAACCTGAACACCAGTATAACAAACCAGGTGGACCAGTGAGGGTGACAGAATCATTCAAATCTAAATCAATAATAATAATAATATGATATGATTTTCAAAATAAAACATCCTGTAAAACAAAATTACTAAAGAAGTATTTCATCACAGAGGTTCCATTCTCTCTGGCCTGGTACCGGATGACACTGGTACCAGTACTGACCCTGGCACCAGTGACTGAGGACCCCCAAACAGTGAGGGTTTGGTTCTGTTCAGATTCTGGAGGTGAATTGTGAAGACCATCAAAGGTATTTTGATCAGAAACATGACATTATGACAGTCAGCTTAGAGACTTTATGCTGAGGTTCTCCGGGTTAGAACATTAAAGTTCTACTGGACCAGTTTAAGCAGAACCCACCAACCAGAACCCAAGTAGAGCTGATGGTGGTGTAGAATGGATCCGAACTGCACATGCCAGTGTGTGTGTGTGTGTGTGTGTGTGTGTGTGTGTGTGTGTGTGTGTGTGTGTGTGTGTGTGTGTGTGTGTGTGTGTGTGTGTGTGTGTGTGTGTGTGTGTGTGAATAAATGAAAAAGTTGATCTGAGACTGAATAAAACCTCCATCCAGAAGCCATCCCATAATATTAAGCCCATGGACGGAGACAGACATGGAGGCTGGTCGGTGGACCATGTTCTGTTCTGACTGAGCCTTCAGGGTTCTGTTTTGGGACCATCAGAGGTCTGAAGGAAGCTTTTGAGAACCTTAAAGATCAGACGTCCCTAAACGACCTCCTTCCTGTAAACAGCTCTGACACCAGAACCAGAACCTTCAAACCCAACGCTGCTTTGTCTCCAAGGGAGGCACAGGGGGACACTCATGGGGGTGGACGTTATCAGGGGCAGCTGCTGGGGCGGGGGTGTCGGTCCCTCTCTCCTTAACGAGGTTTCATTGGAGACCAGTGTTATGGAGATGAGGTGCCAAGGTCAGGTCACAAAGGTCAGAGGACTTTTATTGAGTCTACCCCCCAAACCCCCACAAAGACTCGGGCTGCTCTGTTGACCCAACAGAAGAACAGCTAGGGTCAAAGGTCAGATTCAGAATGGACCTGGAGCATCTGTAGTGCTCCGGGTCCAAACCTGACCGTCTAGAGGTCTCCTAGAAACAAATCTTTGCTTTGAATTGTTCACTTCTAAATGTTGTCATCAAACTTTCTCTCAGAATTAACAGAATAAATGAAGACGAAGCAGCAAATGGAATGTTTTATGGTCAGAGGACCCTCCTCGTGATTGAGCTTTAAACCGATCCACTCCACCGACCCGAACCAGGACAGTAATTGGACTTACTCAGACATTGAAGCGCTGACAGACACATCATGAAGATTTCTGGTTTCATTTTGGTTCTTCTTTGGACTCCTGAACTTTAAAGCTTCTCACCCCAAAAAACACAAAAACCAAAGAAAAAGCGTCGTAATCCAAATCAGGTATCAGGAATAAAGCTTCAGATTATCTTGCTTCCGTTAAAGCTTCATGGTTCTGGTCCACGGCAGGCTGCTGACCCTGTTCTGATCCACTCTGAGAGCTGGGGCTCTCCTGACCATACACGCAATCTCTAGTGGTTCTGGCTCATTGTTGAAGGAGCTGGAGATGGATGCTCGTGAACCGCTGGCAGGTTGGGCTCGCATCAGCCAATCACAGCTCAGGAGAGATGGGGCGGTATCTTGGCCCTGGAGGAACCATTTGAACCTGGGACCTGAGGACCGACACCCACACTCATCTGACTCCTGATGATGCAGCTGAGACCTGATTCTGACTCATCAGTTCCGTCTTGATGAAGAAACCAGAAAACAAACCTCCTAATCAGCAAAAACGTTTTATGATTTGTTGTCAAAGAGTGAGCTCGATGTTGGTCTGATCTGTGGAGAACATCTGTCCATACTGAAGGTTATCTTGGAAGTGACAACTTGGATTAAAACACACTGGAAGCCAGTAGTGAGGCTGAGGTGGTGTTTTATGGTCGTATTTATGTTTACTGGTGTAAGATTGGCTGCAGCGTTCTACACCAGCAGCAGGTGATGGGTTAATGATTGGTCAATACCAAAGTATGAGAAGTTAAGGTAACCTTTGACCTCGGTGGTGATTCTCAACTGGTAAATCTCAGCCTAACAAATTAAATGTTTCATTTCAGAGTTTTGATTTGGTCATTAAAATGCAAAGTTCATTTTTATGAATAAAAATCAAAGTGCTTCATAAATCGAATCTAAATTATGCATAAAAAAATAATACGGATCATTACAAACAAAATAAATACAATATTTTAAAAGGATCTTGAATAAAAGTATATTTGAATCAGAAAGTCTCCATCTGCTTCTAAAATGAGTCCTAGCTGTCAAAAATCAGAAAAAACAAATAGTCGATTCTCTAAGGAGCAACAGACCAAAATCTGGTCTCTGGTTCTTCTAATGTTCTGGTTGGAGGACCTGAGGACTCGGGTTGGAGTTTACGATTTTAACCATTCAGACATGTTAAGAGGGGCTTGACCAATCAGAGCCCTGAAAGTTAAAGTCAGGATTTATAAATGACAGAAATATTCAAACTGGAGTGAAGCTGGATCTTCTACTGGTTCCAGTTGGGAAATTTGCTTCAGCAATGTGGACCAGCTGAAGGCACACACACACATATATAAATACACACATACATACGTCTCACTCATACATTCATCCATCTACACCCAAGGATATTTTCTACGATTCTCATCCTCATTTCTGTCTGGTATGGATTTATTTCCTTCCAGTTTCATCACAATCCTTATGGCTGTTTGAGTTGAAATGATCCTTTTCTATAGTTATCACTATTATTAACAACTGTGTGCCTAACGTCACTGCTGCTCAGTTCTTCTACTATTCATGTTTGATATTGAGCAGAAATTCAGTAGACGACACACTGATGCAAATGGTATATGCACCTATATGTCTCTGAGGTCCAGTCGTCTGGGTCTGGTAGCTGCCCACACCAGCAGCATCCTGTGTGGATCCCCCAGAACCAGGAACTGTCTACATTTACACTTGAGATCAGTGGACTTTAGAGCCATAAAACATCTTCTAAAATCGGTCTCCTGTAAGGTACTTTGTGACTTTTGTCTTAAAAGATTATACATAAAATTTTACTTCCCCCACCATGGTGTTGGTGACAGAAATGACCCACAACCACACAGACTAACCATGCACACACAAGCAGTTTTGATACGATTCAACTCATCAAACATAATGCAACTTCATTATCTAGTAAAACTAATTGTGTCTCACACACACACACACACGTCCTTCCCATCTGTACCGGGTTGGCCCGGGTAGCCCCAGTCGGCCCCAGCCTGGCCCGGTTGATTCCACACATCCTTGCCTTAAGCCCATGTGGGCTGATTCTACCCACCAATCAGAGGCTTGCTCTAATGGAAGGTGTGAATTTGCTGTCAGCAGTGGGTGTGTTGGTCCTGGTCGGCCTGAAGCAGACCCCCTCGAGAAGAGGGCCGAGAATGAGCCTTGGTTGGCCCGGAAAAATACCAGGCCACCCAGATATGTAAACAACCTACGCTACCCGGCCCGCGCCGACCCGGTACAGATGGGAATGGCCCAAGAGAGAGAGTGGCCCTCTCCCAGAGACCCACTGCAAATTGATTTGAACTCCATCAGCTGATCTTGGGTCTGTTTGTCTCCATCTAATGGACAAGAAGAGACATTACCAGGCCAAAGACAGGTTCAACATCTGCTTAGCTATCAGGAACAGAATCATTCAACTACTAAACTAAATCTGAAGATTAAATAAAACAAGTCAATGAAGGTGAGAAGTGCTAAAGCTAGCATTCTGCAGCTAACGGGGAAGATCACGTAACAAACACAAACATTAGGCGTTCTCATCCGATGAAAGTCTCTGACCTCTCACACCCCTCTGAAGGTTTTAGTTGGACCGTCTTTAATAAGACCAATCAGCTGTTCATCCATCAAACTCAGAATTTAAAAACAAATAACTTTTCTGCTGTTTTGAACCAACTTTCACGTGTTTTATGTTTGTTATTAATAAAGATCAGGTAAAATAACACAGCAGAAAAACCTTTATTTGAAGAATTAACAGTAAAGTAAAAAAACAAAAACAGATTACAGAAGCAACAATTCTACAAACCAGGAGGAGAATAGCAGGAACTCTTCCAACTATCATGTATGCACCTTTCTTCTCTTGACCGTATTTTGAATGAGGAGTAATATTATGAACCCAGATTGTAGAGAAATAAACGGATCTAGAGCCAAATGTTTTAAATGTAACCTTATGATTTCTACTCAAAGTGAGCCCAAACTCCTCCTGTGCTCTACAGAACTTTGGTACCATCTGGTGGCTGGAGGCAACATTGCAGACCTGAAAATCAGATCCTAAAAAAACAGGAGGTCGGGACAGAAGAAGAAAAGTTCTGTCCCAGACAGAACCCGTCGCCAGCTGCTTGAGCTGGTTGTTACCAGTAAATGCTTCAGGCGCTGAATGAAATTATTGTGAATTGTTTCTAATCTTTGAGATTTGAACCAGGTCACAGACCTGAAAAAAAACCCAGCAGGTTATTCCATCGAGTCTCCGTAACTACAGGCGAGTTTCAGGTGTAGATGGGCTCCGGCAGGAGGGAGGGGAGGTAATCCTGCTGCGCTGAGATCTCCGGGGGCTGCCAGCGACTCTCCATCAAAGCATCATACAGCTCCTCGCTGTGTTCCATGAACTTCCTGTTGGTTTCCAGAACATCCACCTCCAGACCAGGATCTTCAATAAACAACAGGAAGGATGGTGAGAGTCATCAAAACATCATCAAGGTGCATCTAAACAGTAAAACACCTCCGGGTCAGTCCCAACTCCACTAAGCCAGACAGACACCAACAACCAAGGAAACACTGTGAGCCTTCCAGGCCTCAAGGGCTGGTATCCAGCATGTTGAAGTGGTTTCTCTGCTCCAACACACTTGATTCAGTGAATGAATCACCTGTGCCGCAGCTCATCAGGCTCTGCAGAAGCTTGTTAATCACCTGCTGATTGAAATCAGGTGTGTTGAAGCAGGATTAAAACCTTAACGTGCTGGATACCGACCCTGCAGGCCTGGAATTGAATAACCCTGCTTTACAGTGGCAAGTTGGAGCTGGCCACGCCTACCCATCCCCACCTCAAGCTACTATAAGCTGAGAAGCTCCTACAGGCCCTTCTCAAAAAATTAGCATATTGTGATGAAGTTCATTATTTTCTGTAATGTACTGATAAACATTAGACTTTCATATATATTAGATTCATTACACACAACTGAAGTAGTTCAAGTATTTTATTGTTTCTAATACTGATGATGTTAGCATACAGCTCATGAAAACCCCAAATTCCTATCTAAAAAAATTAGCATATCATGAAAAGGTTCTCTAAACGAGCTATTAACCTAATCATCTGTATCAACTAATTCACTCTAAACACCTGCAAAAGATTCCTGAGGCTTTTTAAAACTCCCAGCCTGGTTCATTACTCAAAACCGCCATCATGGGTAAGACTGCCGACCTGACTGCTGTCCAGAAGGCCATCATTGACACCCTCAAGCAAGAGGGTAAGACACAGAAAGAAATTTCTGAATGAATAGGCTGTTCCCAGAGTGCTGTATCAAGGCACCTCAGTGGGAAGTCTGTGGGAAGGAAAAAATGTGGCAGAAAACGCTGCACAATGAGAAGAGGTGACCGGACCCTGAGGAAGATTGTGGAGAAGGACAGATTCCAGACCTTGGGGGACCTGCGGAAGTAGTGGACCGAGTCTGGAGTAGAAACATCCAGAGCCACCGTGTACAGGTGTGTGCAGGAAATGGGCTACAGGTGCCGCATTCCCCAGGTCAAGCCACTTTTGAACCAGAAACAGCGACAGAAGCGCCTGACCTGGGCTACAGAGAAGCAGCACTGGACTGTTGCTCAGTGGTCCAAAGTACTTTTTTTCGGACAAAAGCAAATTTTGCATGTCATTTGTAAATCAAGGTGCCAGAGTCTGGAGGAAGACTGGGCAGGGGGAAATGCCAAAATGCCTGAAGTCCAGTGTCAAGTACCCACAGTCAGTGATGGTCTGGGGTGCCATGTCAGCTGCTGGTGTTGGTCCACTGTGTTTTATCAAGGGCAGGGTCAATGCAGCTAGCTATCAGGAGATTTTGGAGCACTTCATGCTTTCATCTACTGAAAAGTTTTATGGAGATGAAGATTTCATTTTTCAGCACGACCTGGCACCTGCTCACAGCGCCAAAACCACTGCTAAATGCTTTACTGACCATGGTATTACTGTGCTCAGTTGGCCTGCCAACTCTCCTGACCTGAACCCCGTAGAGAATCTGTGGGATATTGTCAAGAGAAAGTTGAGAGATGCAAGACCCAACAATCTGGATGAGCTTAAGGCCTCTATCGAAGCATCCTGGGCCTCCATAACACCTCAGCAGTGCCACAGGCTGATTGCCTCCATGCCACGCCGCACTGAAGCAGTCATTTCTGCAAAAGGATTCCCGACCAAGTATTGAGTGCATAAGTGAACGTAATTATTGGAAGGTTGACTTTCTTTGTATTAAAAACACTTTTATTGGTCAGATGAAATATGCTAATTATTTGAGATGGGAATTTTGGGTTTTCATGAGCTGTACGCCAAAATCATCAATATTAGAAACAATAAAAGGCTTGAACTACTTCAGTTGTGTGTAATGAATCTAATATATATGAAAGTCTAATGTTTATCAGTACATTACTGACAATAATGAACTTTAAAAAAAATGCTAATTTTTTTAGAAGGACCTGCATATCCTTTCCCACGCGATCATCTGTTTGACAGAATGGTAAAGAGGTAAAATGGGTTAATAAAAGCATTACCTGGTCACTAGTGCATCTTTCATCAGCATTTTTATCCTTTTGAACTTTAACCTAAAGATGGTCAGAGTTGAATTGCGGGGCCACAGAAAACACGATGAGGGTAAATAATCCCGATCAGGGAACTTAACCCATTTAACGAGCAAGTAACTCCCATATTAACTTTTTGTTGCTGATAACCTGCATAGATGAGTGTCTAATGGTGCTGTACACAAGTGTAATCATTAGTGTGGCACTTTAGTGCTACTTACTTTAAATTTAATATTTCAGCCCAAAACCATAATTCTATCTCATTCTTCAGGTTAAAACTCTGCTCCACACTCACGTAGAACCAGCTGTGGCTGATGGCTAAGCTGAAAAACGTGACGTCAGCAAATTATTATGTGGCTGCACTGCACTGGTCTCCAGGTGAGGCAGCTCCACCTGGCTCAGCCACTCACCTGCTGATGTGACACGTTGGCGCTCCGAGCCGCTCGCCTCCTTGAAAAAAACGCCCCCCTCCCCTTTTCATCTAATGATCGTGATTAACAGGAAATCCTCCAGAATGCAGCAGAATCTGTGTCTGCTTTTTTTCCTGAGCGGTAAGTCTTGCGCGAGTACGCACAAGCGCATTAACAACTCGTTTTTAGACTGAGAAACTGGCAGCGCATGCAGGGCTGTTGAGGGGTGTGTGGTCTACCACTGCCTCAGTTAGGGATGGGTACCGAATTCGGTACTTTTTAAGGTACCGACCGAATTCCATAGTACCGACCGAGCACCGACTCACGTCATTTGAAACGGTGCCTCGTTTCGGTACCCGTCCTTCATAACGAGAACTTGCCTAGACAGCTGCGCATGCGCAAGAGCGTTATGTCATCGGTCGATGCGAGCCAGTTGTAAACAGAGCAGCATGGTAGAAAGAAGGAACGCTAAAGCTTGGGTCCACTTCACTAAATGTGATGGGTAACGATGAAACCAGCGACAACGATCTAAGTGAGACATCCTCATCTTAATCTGCTCCGGTAGGTAAATAAAATGTTTAAGACAACGCTAGCTTGATATGTTAGCTTCCGTTTCGCTAATGGTGCGTTCGCCTTCTCCTCGGAACTCTGAATTTCTGACTAGAAGGACATGAACGCGCTCTAAAGTTTGGCTTCACTTTACTAAATGCGACGGGTGATTGGGTGAAGATGAAACCAGCGACAACGATCTAAGTGTGAGGCATCATCGTTTTAATCTGCTCCAGCAGCTAAATAAACTGTTTAAGATAACGTTAGCTTGGTATGTTAGCTTCCATTGCTACCGTTGTTATCAGCTAATGGTGCGTTCCCTTTCTTCTCGGAAATTCTAACTTCCCAGTAGGAAAAATCAATTGAAAAAGACGGCAAAAGGAATGAAGATACACAGTAAATTTAGTTCACAGTAAAGATGTTTGCTTCAGTTTAATTATCAGCTTATAAAACTACAAGGACAATGTTAAAATACAAACAGCTGAATGTTATTTATCGTGATATTTATCAAATATGGTTATAAATTGAGAAAAATAAATATTTAATTATAAAAGAGAATTAAAATAATAAACACTCAAAAGTATCGAAAATTGGTACCGTTAAGTACCAGTATTGATGCCTAGGTACCGGGAATTAGTACCGGTATCGATTCAAATGTCAAAGGTACCCATCCCTCTCTCTGTCCGCCAGGCAGCGCCTCTTTCAGAAGTGTTTTCCTAACAGGAAGTGTGGATGAAATACATCTCCACCCATGCCTTGACTCTCACTTTAACTCCTTAAATCCTACTTTACAGTTTGTGTTTGAAATGATTTGACTTTGATTTTTTTTTCTTCATCAGATATCAAAAACACTTCTAGACCCAACCCTCCATCCCAGCACTGACCTTCCACCTCTTCCTCCTCTGGAACAGCTTCACCTTCCTGGAAAAAAGAAGAATTATTTCAGTATAAAAGCTTTCATTTAATGGAGATGAGCTGAAGGTGCTGATCTTAGCAGGCGTACCTGTGGAGGGGGATACTGACTGTAGTCATACTGTGGGTAAGTGTAGCCGTACATTCCTGCTGTCTGATCGTAGCCCCAGGATGAGTAGTACCCAGGATAGGCCTGGTTCTGGTACTGGTTATACTGGTCATAGCCGTATTTGTAATCAGAACTGGACTGCCAGGACTGTTTGTTCTCCGACTGCTGCGGCGGCTTGTTCCTCAAACTGAAAGCGAGGAGGAGATGTAGAAGAAAGCTGTTGTTGTTCATCTCAAAGTCAAACAACAACACAGAGAGAGAGAGAGCGAGACTCACTTGTTAGCAGCTAAGCTCAACCTCAGAGGTTTACTCCCCAGTCCGACGGCACCCTGACACTCATCCAACGCTCGTTTCTGGAGCCGCTCATCCGGGAACTGAACAAAACCACAACCCCTGGAGAGAGACGAGTCAGGATGGCAAAAATTGATCAGAAACGGGCCTATCCAGGGTCAGGAACTCACTCTCACTGAAACAGATGAGCTCCCACATCAATCTCTCTAGTCCACGAGTAGTTAATGCTAAAGTTTACTGATATGACGTCTTAACTACTTCACCACCACTTACTTGGAGTTGCCCATGCTGTCAAGCACAACCTTCCCACCTCTGCAGGACGGGTAGCGGTTATAAAAGAACTCATAAAGCATCCCGTCGTCCACCTCTGGTGTTAGATCCCCCACAAACAGCGAGAACATCTGACTGGAACAGGGAGAACAGACAAAGGTTATGGACTCAACAGACAGCAGAACATCACCCATAACCTTTGGTGTTCTGCCTCTCACCCAGCTTCCTGCTTCCCAAATGTGGCTCGGTTCAACTTAAATCTTGTTGGCTGCACAAACAAATGACACAAATTGAAGTCTGACAGGTTTTCAGGAGTTTCCATAAAAAGAGAAGCCCGTACGAAGCTGAGATGTCCTCACCGGACTGGCTCCTGGTAAAGATTTTCCATTGATTTTACGAAGGCACCTTTCAGCTGTGGCCTCATCCGTCATCTCCACAAAACAGTAGCCCAGAGCACCCCTTGGAGACAAGCACACAACACAACAAGTCAAACCAGTGTTAGAGAGCCACCCGACCATCTGTGGAGGGAGAGCTCACCCAGTCATCTTGTTCCGGATGATGCGAACATTCACCACCTGCTCCCCCATGGTGGAAAAGGCTCTGGTAATGAACTTCTCGTCCATGTAGGTCTCCAGCTGCACAACAGAATCTTTATGTTTTACATTATTTACGTTTAATCACTTTATTTATGTTTTTTTCTGATTTAATGAACACCACATGCATCCGGTCACAGCATGACGCACGTAACGCTTAAATCTGAACATCACCTACAGGCTGTAGTTACGAAACAACCCGATAAGCAGAATGTAGTAACAGGGTTTAGTAGAATAAAAAAAGAACAATCTCGATCTTTATTTTGAAACGTGACTCCATAATGCCGCGTGCTTTCACAAAGTGTGAGCGCCGTCCATTAACAGAGCCGGTGGTTTTCCTTCTCTAACAGCAACGAGTTGAATCCTTTTAGAGAAGCTGCCTCTGATATGAACATTAAACAGCTGGTTTCTGATGAACCTCCGGGTCCACACCAGTGTTAGCTGTGATGCTAGCTGATGCTAGCTCCGTCTGTTCTAACTGAATGATTCAGTCTCAAAACAAATGTAATAAACAGATTAAACTCACGTTGCCCATCCATAACGTACTCATGATGATACGATAAAAAACCTGTAATTTCAACCCACTTTTAGTAGAATGTAAACTAAAGTTGAGCTGAAACAAACAGAAATGGAAGACGTCCTGTTCACGCATGCGCACTGCTGCTCGCTGGAAGCGTCTTTTGGAATTCTAGGATGTCCAAGGAAGATCCCGCCTTTCTAGCCTCTGATTGGCTGGAAGGACTCTACTACGATTGGCTATTTCGTGCAAGAGGAAACAGTCTTCCCTCTGCAGGTTCTTATGTTTACAGCCAGATCTTGAGGAGTTTTTTGAAGAAAATGTGAACTCATCGATATAATAAACGTCCTTTCCTGTTTAGCAACAAACCAGGCCCAGTTTCTTTCATAAAAGAGCCTGAAAAACATCAAATGTGAACCTGAAATAATTCTTGTAGCATTGTATCACACTGTAAACTGACTTTATATCTGTCGGGGTCATATTACTTCATTATTAGGCTATCCTGCTTTAATAGGTTAAGGCTGTTTACAAGTTAGAGCACATCTCTCATCATCAGATTAATGTATATCATTTAATCAAAAATTAAGTTAAAGCTGATTATGATTTAGACCTATTTTTCACCAGTTTTCAATATTCTAGAGAAGAAACAGACCTGATGCACACAGCTTGGCAGAATAGGGCAGTTTTATTAAATTTCATACCCAGGTAAAGCACATATGTTTATCCTATGTACTCTAATGCTTCAGAGCCAAGAGATAAGTAAGTCCTACAGTTTGATAAATGCAACAAGATTTAAAATTCACATTTTATGTTTTTCAGTTTTCTTATGAAACATAAAATATGTTGCAAACCAGGACAGAATGTTTATTATAGCACTAAGTTCACATTTTCTTTACTAAACTTCCCAAACCAGCTTTCTGCTGGTGGCAGAACAGTCAGGACTCCTCATTAAATCAACTGATCTACAGCGAGGACAGCCAGTTTGCTGTTAAATGAAATAGCCAATCGTAGTGGAGCTTTTCTAGCCAATCAGAGACGAGAAAGGCGAGATCTTCCTTGGACATCCTAGAATTCCAAATGACGCTCCCTGGAGCTCGAGTAAATAAAAACTTTATTGAAGACATGAACACGACACGTCCAATTCAATAGAATGGAAGCCCATTCCCGCTACTCAGATAAAATAAATATCTCATAATATCCATGGATCATTTTTATTTTATATTATTTTTATTTTATTTTGTTTTGGGAAGATAAACCCACCTGAGATTAATCATTTCATTTTCGAGAAGGTCCTTCCACTACCTTACAGTGAGTAAAGAACAAGATAGCTGAATCAATAAGCAAAAGAGGAAAGTCCAAAGACACAAAGGACAAACAGACAGAAAACGTGAAAAAAATACAAACAACTACATGAAAAAATAAAAACAAAACAACAAAAAGTTCTTCAGGTTGGTATAATCAGGGATTATTAACGCTCAGAATTGAAGGATTTAAATGAGCGAGCTACTAAAGAACAGCATGTCCTGTTTGATCTGAATCATAGCAGCACCTGGTGTTCAGTATGAAAAGTGTTTCATCACACAATGGGTACGGAAAGTGTACAATCCCCTGTCTGTTTTTTACCTTTTGTTATATTGTAGCCATTTGCTAAAATCAATTAAATTCATTTGTTTTCTCATTAATGTACACACGTGGCACCCCGCATGGACAGAAAAGCACTGAATTTTAGAAATTTCTGCAGAGCTAAAAAAAAATAAAAGACAAACAGATTTATTAGGTGGTCCTATTCAGACCCTTTGCTGTGACACTCATATCACAGCATCATAATCATCTTTCCATTTCTAAACATCCTTGAGATGGTCCTACACGGTCACTGGAGTCCAGTGGGGTTTGATTCTACTGACTGGACTTGATTAGGAAATCCACACACCAGTCTATATGAGACCTTACAGCTCACCATGCATGTCAGAGTTGTAATGTATGACTAGATGTCTTTTGAGGTTTAATTACGATCAATAAGATTTGATGATTTCTATATAAATATGGAAATCCAGTCGGACTGGTCTTTGAATGTTTAACCAGAAGATTTACAATTCTTTGTTTATTCAGGGGTCGAAGACGCTTCGTATCAATTCAGACAGATTCAGGTTTGTAAAAAGTAAGAAATTTATTTTCTAAACAATTAAAAACTTGACAACGCGTTATGTAATGAATGAATCTAAGTGGATGGAATGTGAGGTGTGATGATGCGTGAATGTGATGTTATCAGAACTTTCGTATCTGGAGAAAATGAGTTCTGAGTGGGAGTGAATTTGGTCTCCTATAAACTACAGTGATGGTTTATAAAACCACATCAGACGCAATCTGTCGAGTCTACGTACCCTTATCAGAGACTCTCTTTTGGATCCGAGATGCCGGGGAGTCCGTGGACCCCACGGTACCGAAGTCCGTAGAGAAACAGCAGTAAGACCAGGTCAGTCCAGAGTCATCTCCAGATCACGACAAACAGGTGGACTTGTTTTGCGTCTATGGAGGACTCTTAAGGAGTCGGAGCTGGTTCAGCTTTATTCTGAAGGAACCGTTTGCGGTCAGCTGTAGCGTGCAACAGGTTTTGACAGCTTGTCACAAGATGCAATGGGAGAAGAGGTTTCCTCCGATGGCTAGTCAGAGTTGGAAACAAGTGTGAATCACTCAGGAAGTGAAGCTGTTTAAATAATGGCCATATTTTGGTTTACTGACGAGTCAGAATTTGCCCTGTAAAGGGGTTTTGCCAACAAACTCAGATACACACCTCCCTCAGATATGAAGACGCTGATTTTGTGCATAAGAAAATATCTATGTGCAGTGACGTCAATTCTAACTTGCGTCATGGAGATATGGTGAGTATGTCTTGTCTAGTCAGTGCACTGATTACATATATGGGTCATATATTTCATTTCATCCTCATTAATCTTTCAGCGTAATAATAATATTCATTTCAACTTCAGTAGTTTAAGCACAGATTAATCAAAACATTTCATCTAACCATACTGTCCAGTTCATTATATGATTAGTTTCTCATATTGTTCACTTCATTACATGATTTAATTATGAAAGTTCATCCATCTTGATCTGTGAAGAAGAGCAGTCTTAGATAAGAGGGAGCTTGCGAGGGACCTTGGGCAAACAACAGTATCTTTCTTGCAGATTAAAGGCACCAGTTAAGACTTATGTTTCCAAATGGCCAGATACTGAAGAGGTCAGACTGTAGGTGGAAAACTGACCATTTCTGGAGGCTACAGAGCAAATGAGAATATGAGGTCAAAGGAACTGCCTGAACTAGTGCAGAGACAGAATTGTGGCAAGGCACAGATCTCGACAAGGTTACAAAAACATCTCTGCTGCACTAAAGGTTCCTAAGAGCACAGTGGCCTCCACAATCCTTAAATGGAAGACGTTTGGGACGACCAGAACCCTAGAGCAGGACATTCTGAGCTACCGGGGAGAAGAACCTTGGTGAGAGGTGAAGATGAAATGGTAAATGGTCTGTATTTGATATAGTGCCTTCCAGAGTCCTAGACACCCCCCCCCCCCCCCCCCCCCCCTTTGGCCTTAATTCTAAGTGGTGTGTGCGGAGAAAACCAGGCACTGCTTGTCAATTGTCCAGCGAAGCATGGTGGTGGCAGCATCAGGCTGTGGGGGTGTTTTCAGCTGCATGGACAGGATGCCTGGTTGCAATCGAGGGAACATGAATGCAGCAAGGTACAGGGATATCCTGGACAAGAGTGCTCAGGACCTCAGACTGGGCCAAAGGGTTACCTTCCAACATGACAATGACCCTAAACACAGCTAAAATAACAAAAGAGGCTTCATGGTAACTCTGTGACTGTTAATGAATAGCCTAGCCAGAGCCATGACTTGAACCCAATTGAGCATCTCTTGAGAGACGTCACAGTGTCCCGACTGATCATGCGCCCTGTCTACTTGCCCAAGGGGATGTCCCTGTGGCTGACTGGTTAGTGCACGTGCCTCTCATCCGGGAGTCTGGCGATCGAATCCTGCCGGGGCCCTCGTTTCTCCACCTTGCCACACTAAAAATGGCTGTCCACCAACGTCCAATCCAGTCCAATCCAGTTTTATTTATGAAGCACTTTAAAAGACCCAGCACAGGAACAAAGTGCTGTACAGAAAATACATTAAAACAATTGACTAAACAGAAAACAGCAAAGATAAATAAATAAATAAAACACATGACACATAAAATTAAAATAGCCCTATATTAAAAAAAAACTTGATAAAACTTGATAAAACCACATTGAATCACCTAAAACAGCTAAAATAAAATAAAAATAGAAACCAACATCTCACAAGGTATCAAAAGCCAGGGTAAAGAGGTGAGTTTTCAGGAGTGCCTTAAAAACAGGTAAGGAACTGGCCTGTCTTATCTCTAAAGGAAGTTCGTTCCACAGTTTTGGAGCTGCTACAGCAAAAGCGCGATCTCCTCTAAATTTACGCTCAGTCCTGGGTACAATCAGGAGCAGCTGATCAGCATACCTGAGGGAGCGGGAGGGAGTGTAAGGCTGTTTCAGGTCAGAGAGATAAGAGGGGGCGAGGCCATCAAGACCTTTAAAAGCAAACAAGAGGATTTTAAAATGAATCCTAAAAGAAATGGGCAGCCAGTGAAGTGAAGCTAAAACGGGAAATGTGCTCAAACTTTCGAGTGCCAGTTAAAAGACGAGCTGCGGCATTTTGCACCCTCTGTAGGTGACTAATACATGATGCACTGACCCCAATATAGAGTGCGTTACAGTAATCCAGCCGAGTGGTTACAAAGGCGTGGATCACTGTCTCAAAGTGCTGCCGTGAAAGAATTGGCTTTATTTTTGCCAGCTGCCTGAGGTGAAAGAAGCTAGATTTTACCACTGCCTTAATCTGATGTTCAAACTTCAGATCACAGTCCACTTTGACCCCCAGGTTGGTGACAGTTGGCTTAACAAACTGGGCCAAGGAATCTACAAACCCATTGGGGGTCTCAGTAGGACTACCAAAAATCATCACCTCAGTCTTTTTATCATTGAATTTTAAAAAGTTCACAGACATCCAAGCCTTTATGTCGTCAAGACACTGAAGTAATGGCTGTAACGTTCACCATCCAACCTGACATAACAGGAGAGGATCTGCAAGGAGGAATGGCAGAAAATCCCCAAATCTGGGAAACTTGTTGCATCTTTACCAAGAAGACTCAAAAGGTGCTTCTACTAAATACTAAGCAAAGGGTCTGAATACTTAGGACCATGCGTTAAATCAGCATGGGGTGCTGTGTGCATTAATGAGGAAAAAATAGTTTGATATTTAGCAAACAGCTACAATATAAGTGAAGAATTGACAGAGGACTATACGCTCCGTCCACTGCAGATAAAAGATTAACTTCATCTGCGCATGTTGGATTATTCCAGCCGAGACACGATAATAAAGGCTGATTTAACTTGTTAACAGCACTGTTCCAGAAGCTGCTTTTATTTGACCTACACTCCACTTTACTATCCTAGAGGCTTTTCAGTGATTTTGTTGTGAGAAGCATTTTCTGCGTGTTTTATGCACCAGATGGAGGCATCTCATCCACTTATCCAGAGTTGGGCCGTGGGGGCAGTAGCCCAAGCAGAGGCCCAGACTGGTCTCTCCCCAGCCATATGGGCCAGCTCCTCAAGGCGGTCCAGGCCTCCGTCCACGAGGAACGCAGCATGTGGAACTCTTAATGGGAACCGCCGAGTCGGCATTCTGCCTTCTCACCTTTTATCCGAGTAAATATTCACTACTTTATAAATAAAAATACATTTTAATGCAAACAGGATTAAATGGGTTTAGGTGTTTTAAGAACCTGCGGACTTTGATGACATTAACTCGGTGCTGGTTCTTGTTCCAGCAGAACTCATAAGCATCTGATTTGTGGATGAATTCACATTCAGCCAAGGAGAACTTGGATGTTCAGGTCCTAGAACTGCTGCAGACCATTTTTGACTCCAATAAACCCCCGAGTTCAAATTCTGACTCAAACATTCCTGGAAGGCGAGTAAAAAGAAGCAGCAACACCTGGTGGCTTGTTTTTCTCTTTAATTAAGATAAGTTATGTACACAGTTTGTTTACTCCGACTATGCACACTTTACCTCCTCATCAACAACCTTTCCACAAAAGTGACCATAGACTAAAATCCCAGAAAAGATTTAGATTTAGCCGTGTTCCTCAACCTGACGCTTTGATCTGTGTTTTCTGGAGATAGTCACACCCAGGTGATCAAATATATCCAGAAAACATCTGGTGACCTGCTAACAGACGAAACAAAAACACAGAGAGGGACAAAAGGCCACAAACCCTCAGCAATCGCTGCCGGTGGGTTCACACTGCTGGATCTACTCGTTTAGGAGCAAAACAATGCCTTAAAGCTGCAAATGGGATGGATCAGACGCAGAAATGGAAAAACATCTAATTATGAAACTCTAAAGCTTCCTGTTCCGGTTTTTATTTCCACAACAATGACGGGAAACAGCTGATTAAAGGTTTGAGGTCTCACAAATCCACTGATCAGCCCTGCTGCTCTGATCGCTTTTCATGGAAGATGTAGGAAGACACACTTCTCGTCTTTAATCCAACGAAGCCTCAAACCACGTAGCAACGTCCAGATCAAAAGAAATCAAAGGTTAACAGCGAGTGGCACATTTTATATGAAGAGAAAGTGCAAATAAAGATGGTAGAAAAAGCCTCCGACGGAAAAAAGATACAAGGTCCCACGATCGTTTCAGAGGAAGACATTTCTCACATAGAGCTTTAAAATCCAGACCTTCTTACATTCAACCTGTGTGTGTGTGTGTGTGTGTAGCGCTCTCATTAAGGACAACATCTCTGAGCAACAATTCAGCACTGCAAACAGATTTTGAACTAAATGTATGACTTAAAACAGAGAAAGGCCCAAACAGAACTTTCTCATTTCTGTACAGACTCATTATATTTATGCCATAATCAATATTATAACTATGAAATCATTATATTGGATAGTTTGTGTCTGTTGACAAGCTGATGTTGCCACAAGTGGGCGTGTTTGTGCACATAAATGTGCATCCTGATGGACGCACACACCTAAAACATGACACCTGTTGTAGGCGGAGCTATTCTGATCAGAAACAAACCAGAGCAGGACAAAGGCAGAAGATCCACTCTGCAGGAGGAGACAGGAAACCCACAAGAGATAATGTGTGGACACACACGCCTACACACACCTACACACACACACAGACTCAGTCCATCTTCTCCTTGTGAACCAGTTTTGGAGCATCAACAAAGTCCTGGCCGTTGAATAGGATGATGGTGGCCGTGATGGCGCTGGCGGCTCCCCAGAACATCACGTAAGCGAGGGTCTCGGTCCACGTGTCCCCTGGAGGACAAACAGCCAGTCAGTTTTAACCCAGCCAGGTCTGTGCTCGGCGTTAGTTACCGTCAGCTTACCGGCCATCAGGAGACAAACGATGCACATGGAAAACGCAACCAGCATGACGATGGGCAGCTGAAAACAAACAAACACACACACAAGTTAATGGCCGGGTCGGTGCAGCACATCTTCTCCGTTTAACAGAGGACGTTCAGATGGACTCACCGTTAGGAACTTCCAGTCTTTGTGAACACGAAGAGGAGTGGGTCCGTCTGAATCATCAACAGCAAAGTTACCCAGAAAAAGGTCGATGGCATCCTGAAAACAACAACAACGGCGTCACTGGAACAACAAAACACACAAAGCTACCAGGCGCTTCAACGGCAGCAGCTCCCAATGAACATCAAAACTGGTCTAAAACACCAAAAGTTGTTAAGTTGGAAGTGAGAGAGTCTGGTTCTGGTTCCGTGATCGGGCGAATCACAAGACTTGAGACTCGTGCTGCATTCAGACCCTTGTATCTACATCAGGTGACTTGGGAGAGGTACCTGTCTGAATCCATCTGAGAAGTTGTTTTTGTAGTAGCGGATCATGGAGTTCCATCCGTCCATCACCAAACCCCACCTGGTCCTCTTCCCGGTCCTGGAGGACAAATTCACTTTTGTTAAGCATGAAAACCTCGGAGGTGGAAATCTTGTTCCTGTGAGGAGGAGGAGGAGGTTCTGTACCTTGTGAAGTCGGTTTTTAGTGCTCCAGTTCCAGCATACTGGACAGCACATGCATTAGCATTGTCAGCCCATGCTGATTAGAGAGCGCGCACACACACACACACACACACACACACACACACAGAGAAAACGTCAGAACACACATCTTCTACTAACAACACATGCTCCCACATCAGCTCATCACTTTACCGTTTTTGTAAATCTTCTCAAACTCTATCTGCTCTTCAAGGCGCTGACCCACATTTAGGACTCCCATCCTCTGTGGAGACAAAACAAGAACATTGTTGGTCTGGCTTCCTCCTGATGACAGGTCACCGAGGGTTCTGCGGTAGGACATTTGGAATGACCTACCAGCACAGGTTAGAAGCTTTTGAATCACGCTTGAAGACCCATTTTTTTGGATTGGCATTTGGCCCAGTATGAGTTGTATTCACTAAAGTTTTTTTTATTTTTTTTAATCTTTGTACTTATTCTGTTTTTACTGTGTAATTTCTTGGCTGCTTTTGTGTCCAGCACTTTGGCCAGCTCAGGCTTTATAAATAAAGTTATCAATCCATCTGTCTATTCATCCATCCGTCCATCTATCTGTCTATATCTATCTGTCTATCTGTCTATATCTATCTGTCTATCTGTCTATATCTATCTGTCTATCTGTCTATATCTATCTGTCTATATCTATCTGTCTATCTGTCTATATCTATCTGTCTATCTGTCTATATCTATATCCATCTATCATCTATCTATATCTATCTATCTTTATCTATCCATATCTATCCATCCATCTATCTTTGTGGGAGATTTTTAAATTAGCGCAGAGGTTCGGATTATAACCTTTACACCACCTTAATCCACTCTGTGAATGTAAGTAAGTAAGTAAAAGTTTATTTATATAGCGCCTTTCACAGATATAAATCACAAAGCGCTGTATGAATGCTGAATGCAGCCCAGTTACCCCAGCAGCCTGTCCACCAGTCCAGACCCTGTAAAGGACAGGCAAACCCTGGGGGGCTCCATGCTGATGAATCTGGACTCTGGTCTCCCGAACAGCTCAGTTAATTCGTTAAAGCTGCTTCTGCTCTAAGAGACTTATCCAGGAATGTTGGAATACCTGCAGCTGGGATTGCAGAGAGCGCCGGGCTAACAGGCTCTGGATCACGTTGGTCCTGTCCAGGCAGTCCATGCAGTTACTGCGGAATACTCCTTTCTGCTGGCTCACGATCTTCCCCTCCTTGTACACCATGAAGTAACTACACGCAGTAAAAAGTGTGATTATTTACTGACAGGAAGAGTGAGGTGGGCAGCTGGAGGTTCAGTTACCCGTATTCCTCCTGAGTCTCTGCGACGGCATCCACTAAGATCTGCAGACGGTCCCACCTCATGTTGCTGCACTCCTTGTGAAAGTCAAAGGCCAGATAACTGAAGACACAGAAGAAGATGGTTACAGGTGGATTTCTTGTTCCTGGAACAGAGCTCCTCCTGCATTTAGTTACAGCGCTGCACAGAAATGTCTGAATTAAACTTTCATTTACTTCTTCACAGCAAGTTACCTGTTTGACATTGCAGGCGTATAATAAAAACTCTACACACGGTGTGGGCTGCGTCACCGTTACAACTGAGAAATGGCTGTAGTTGCTCATCGTGGACGGGTGGGGGTGTACCTGTGAGCATGAGGGGTTCTGTACCTGACACAAGTAGCACAAAGTAGCCACAGTGTCTGTGGTGATGTTCAACATTCTGCTCAGTCTCTGGCTTTTTATCAGAGTCTGAACCTGGAAACAGCCTCAGGAAGCAGGCAGAAAGCTCTGGAACAACCAGTGACTCCGCCCCCTATCCAATCAGTGGCTGACAAGTCGCCAACATTGTGCTTTTGGCCCGACTTGGTACGCCTGGAACCACGTGAAAGCATTTTGTGACCTTTCTGATCAGCGGCGTGAAACGTTTTCACTGCTATTCCGCGTGTTAAACGCTCCCGGTGGGAAGGGAGCTCATGGGTAAACAGAGCCGTGTCCAGGACTTTTAAAATGGGGTGGCCCATGTGGGGCACTTGTTTATTCATGGGTGGCACCAATGGTTATGCTTATTTATTTATTTACACAAATCCTTTATTTATTTATTTACTTTCTAGTGAGTTTTTGAGTTTCACATTGCACAATCACCATTTTTTTCCCCTCTTCATCTTCTACTTTTGTGGTGGTTAGCAAGTCACTTCTTGTTGCATTAAGCTTGGTTTAGGCTTGACGCATTCACTTTCCGCGCGGTGATGCGGCTCGTGGATGGAACGCGCTTCACAACTCACAGCGTTTATGGTTTGTGCGGCTTGTCTCTCCGGTGAGCCAATATACTCCCAAACTGTAGGGGGCAGCATGGAGCTCTACGGCATGCATCCAACACTACACCATAGTAGAAGTAGAAATTACTGTTTACAACACGGCATTTCAGCATTTTTAACAGCCTCCTCGTCTTTTCCGACAGTGCGAGCTATTTCTCTCCAAGAATTATTAACAACATGTTGATCACGGTGATCTCTGAGAGCTGAATCATACAAATGTCTGTATTTACAAACCTCTGCCGTACTAGTTCTTGCCAGTCCGCCATGTTTTTCCGCGTCCGTCCGTGTGGTTAGAAATTTTCCAAGGTGCACGTTGCGGAAATTCTGGGCCATGCGGAGGCGCGGTGGAGGGGTGTGGTTGTTAAAATGACGCAAAATGACGCAACTTTTCCGCGCGGACCTCGCGGACGCGTCAAGCATAAACCAACCTTTACTGCCACCAAATGGAGTTGAGTGGGACTCTAAGCATGATGTATTAAATAATATTAATACTACATACCTGGGCTAGAAAACAAGGTGAAAGGTGCATGCAACCACACACTATTTTGGAGTTTAGAACCCAAGCCTTTTGTCGACAATGTAAAGTCAATTTAAACTGGAACTTTGTGGGGTGGCACCTGGGGTGGCCAATCAGATTCTAAGGGTGGCATGTGCTACCCCAGGCCACTCCCTGGACACGCCCCTGTGGGTAAAACACCTCCAGTGGAAAGCCAGGGTTAGGTGCTCAGAGGAGGTGGTTAATGACAAATTCATGGTACTTTCTATCCGATTACCCGACTGAGACAAGTGAACATACAAGAAAAACGAACAACGTGATGAACGACACTTACTTAAGAAAACCATTGTTCAATCCAGAAGCCATCTTGGCAAAAGCTTCCTCCAGGGGCTTCTCCGAGCCCTTCTGATTCACCTGGAAAACAGCAGCACCAACAGTCCTTACGGGCATCTCGGGAGTTGTTCTGATGTGAAAGCGTGTGACAGAGAGGGCTCCTCACCAGGTTAAGAACCGTTTGCTTTCCATAAATCAGGATCTGGGAGTCAAAATGACTCTGGAAACCATCCATCTACACACATACTTTAGAGCGTTAGCAGTAAATCCCACAGATCAAAACCAAACTCACTGAAAACACCAGCACGTACGTGATTCATGCTTTTACTGATGACAGGCTTGGGCTTGTATTTGAGGTTTGGCCTTTGACTCCAGTAGAACGGCATTGAGCCTCGAGTCTACAGGAAAACAGTTATTCACATGTTGCTCTACCGGAGAACAAACACATCTGCCTGGGTCACCAACTCACCTGAACAAAAGAAGCTTTGGCTCCTTCATACAAAACTATCTGCTCAGTCTCCACAAAGTTAGCTGCATGGCCTTCAGAGTCGATGCCTGTTAGGACAGCAGCACAGGAAAATCAGGTCATGGACTTTTTATTCCCACAGATTAGTCACACGGAGTCACACGCAGATTTAATTTATCCACAATTTTGTCTCGAATGTCTTCCAAAACCGTCTCGTATTTTTCTACTTTCCCACTCAGGTGCTAAACTCGAACCAGTCTGGAATGGTTTCAGACGCCTGCAGCAACTTTCAAACAGGTTTAAAGTTTCAGCCACACAAGAGCAAACCCAGAGACTCAATCCAGAAAAGTCCTCTGAATGTTATTTAGTTTGTGGCAGACAGCCACCGCCCAGCCAGGGACCGGGTTCAGCCCAAACAAAAGTACGTATAGTCACAGTAAAGTTTGGATAAAGAAAGATCAGAACTTTTACTCTGAAGAGTCCAGTAGACTTTGTGGGTCTGCATACATTTAATTTTACAGGACAGGTGTAAACTGAGTTACTTTAGCTTTTCCCGAGGCTCTTGTCCTGTCTGTCTAGAGTGCTTCTCTGCGTTCCTCCTGAAAACTCAGTTTTTATTAAACTGTAGATTTGGTCAGCTGGTCATTCAACGCCACTGACAAGATTTATTTCAACGAGAGCGGAGTGGGGGTCTCCAGATTGCTCGAATGGAATGTGCTCGGTGGGGTATATTTTGGATTCCTGGAAGGAAAGGATATTATATACCTTTCTCAGGTGTCCGTAGAGGACATTGGACGTATGGAATCTTGACCTGATAATTACTGGATTGCTTCTAACTGGTGTAGGAGGATTTCTGGTTTTTTGGAAAATTGGGAAGTCTGTCCATCCATCCATCCATTTTCGTCCGCTTATCCGGGGTCAGGTCGCGCGGGCAGCAGCTTAAGCAGGGAGGCCCAGACTTCCCTCTCCCCAGCCACTTGGACCAGCTCCTCCGGGGGAATCCTAAGGCGTTCCCTCACCAGCCGTGAGACAGTCCCTCCACCGTGTCCTGGGTCTTTCTTTAGGTCTCCTCCCAGTTGGACGTGCCCGGAAAACCTCACCTGGGAGGCGTCCAGGAGGCATCCTTACCAGACGCCTGAGCCATCTTAACTGGCTCCTCTCGATGTGGAGGAGCAGCGGGTCTACTCCGAGCCCCTCCTGGATGACGGAGCTTCTCACCCGATCTCTAAGGGAGAGCCCAGCCACTCTGCGGAGAAAACTAATTTCGGCCGCTTGTATCCGCAATCTCGTTCTTTTGGTCACTACCCAAAGCTCATGACCATAGGTGAGGGTAGGAACGTAGATCGACCGGTAAATCGAGAGCTTCGCCTTCTGACTCAGCTCTCTCTTCACCACGATAGACCGGTACAACGCCCGCATCACTGCAGATGCAGCACCAATCCACCTATCGATCTCACGCTCCAGTTTTCCCTCACTCGTGAACAAATCCCCGAGATGCTTTAACTTCTCCACTTGGGGCAGGACCTCATCCCTGACCCGGAGAAGGCATTCTGCCCTTTTCTGACTCAAGGCCATGGTCTCAGATTTAGAGGAGCTGATTCTCATTCCAGCTGCGTCACACTCGGCTGTGAACCGCTCCAATGAAAGCTGAAGATCACGTTCTGATGAAGCCAACAGGACCACATCATCTGCAAAAAGCAGAGACTCAATCCTTAGGCCACCAAAACGGATGCCCTCCACACCTTGGCTGCGCCTAGAAATCCTGTCCATAAAGGTTATGAACAGAATCGGTGACAAAGGGCAGCCTTGGTGGAGTCCAACTCTCACTGGGAACGAGCCCGACTTACTGCCGGCAATGCGGACCAAGCTCTGACACCGGTCATACAGGGACCTAACAGCCCGTATCAGAGGGTCCGGTACCTCATAATCCCAAAATACCCCCCAGAGAGCCCCCGAGGGACGCGGTTGAACGCCTTCTTCAAATCCACAAAACACATGTAGATTGGTTGGGCGAACTCCCACGCACCCTCCAGGATCCCCCTAAGGGTATAGAGCTGAACCAGTGTTCCACGGTCAGGACGAAAACCACATTGCTCCTCCTGAATCTGAGGTTCAACAATCCGATGGACCCACCTCTCCAGAACCCCTGAATAGACCTTACCAGGAAGGATCACAAGTGTAGTTGGAACACAGCCTGCGGTCCCCGTCACCCACCACCCGCACCTACTCATCGGAGTCCAACTGTCTGATGTTTTTGTGCTTATATGTTGAGGCGTTTTTTTTAATAGCAAAGCTACCCTCTGTCGGGGGTAACTCTGATATGCCTCTTCTCCCTTATCGTCATGTAACCCTTTTCTATCTGCATATGAGAGCGCGAGGTACGTGCAGGCCAACAGTTCAGCCTGATTCTGTTATGTTACGTCAAACGTTGGACGGGTTGTTCTGTAACTGTAATTTTGCTGTACTGGGACGCTGGTACACTGACAAATAAAGGTCCTTGATCTATTTATTTTTTAAATTGGTGGTGCCTGTGTACCACAGCCTCGTCTTCGTCAGTGTGCCCCAGGGTAGCTGTAGCTACAATGTAGCTCATAACAACCACGGTGTGAATGAGTGTGTTGTTAAGTGCCTTGGGGGGGTTCTAGGACTCTAGAAGGCATTATATCAACTACAGACCGTTTACCATTTGCAACATGAAGACTGCAGTCCCACATTAACAACAGAAAGTAATTATCTAACCAAGCCAGTGTTGTGCTTCTACCTCTGACATAGTATCGGACACCTGCCCGGAAGCAGCTTCTCCTGGAGATGAGTATCCACTCAAAGATCTTCCCATTTATACGACATGGCTTAATCACAATGACTTTCCCAGCAGGGTCAAGGAAAAACTATTACTCATATTATTGCTATCTTAAGGTTATTTTTTAACATAAACTAATAAACTGCAAAAGGATACATCCGTGAACAACAGGCAGAGCAAACCTGTGGAGCTACAGACGCAAAACAACAAGTTAGGAAACAAATACAATTTTTTATAAATAATCACGAGTAAAAGTTACCTCTGGCTGCCCGGCCAGCTCTCTCAGTAGGTTCCCATTCCACACAAACCTCTGATCTGCCTGAAAACCACAACACAGGAGCCAGGAGGCTCAGATATGACACAATACATGTAAAAATAAATCACAGTACACAGTCAGATCTTAAAAGACATCAGGACGTATTATTGTGTGTACAGTTATACTGTGTAAATAATAAAAAACTATCATTAACACGTGTATCATGGCTCAAGTTATGATAGTGACAAGTTATGGAGTTCCAGAGGTCTTTTTAATGAAGACAGCACCAAGACGTGCCGAACACAGTCTGCTGACAGTCCGAAGGCCGGCCAAAGACAGGATGAAGGCAGTCTAGAAGCAGGCCAAAGATGAGACAAAGACAAGCTGAAGGAAGTCCGTAGACAGCCAGAAGGAAGTTTGCAGACAGGCTGAATGCAGGCCAAAAACAAACACACTAGGGCTGCACGATATTAGGAAAACCTGCGATATTCGATATTGTGATGTCGAGTATACTTGCGATAAATAAAAACTTAACTCAGGAAGAAAAATATCAAAAACAAAGAAATAAAAAATTCATAAAAATGAGAAAAGCAAAAGATGTGAGGAAAGGGAAAAAGAAAATGATCAGGAAAAGGTAATCAGTGGATCCCGGGAAAAGCAGAATCAGCAGAAAGAGCAGAACTAAGCTAACTCGGGTGTTTGCTAACCATCAAAGTTAAGTGCTGTCCGCCTCGGGGGAGGGCATCTGACCTATGAGAACCCACCCGATTGCCCAAATGGGTGAAGAGCTCCGTTTGATTTGTTAAAAAAAAATCACGGTTCTGTTTGACAGAACGCATCATGAGCAGCAAACATTTGAGCTGACCATTCATTGCGACATTTATCTGTTCTTTGCGATATGCATATTGTGCATGCTGATATCACGATAACGATATATTTACGATATATTGTGCTGCCCTAAAACACACTTATAGATAGTAATGCATGGTGTAACCGGTACATGGTTGATATGATATAAATGTAGCCACCGGTAGAGACTGACTCTACCGCCTATGAATGTTGTCAAGTTGCATCAACTCTGGATGAACGCAGTGACTGCTGCAGCTGCTAGGTGGAGCATGCGGATGAAGACATGCTTGTAAAGACGATGAGGTTATGTTGGTTATACCTGCCTGGTTTGGGATTAAGGAGTTTGATGCTGAGCACAAAAACATCCTCACTAAACAATTCTGGGCGACATTAAAGCGAAATTTCTGCACTAACAGCTCATTAACGCTAATTCCCTTGAACGTTGCTCATTTGAACACAGTCAACACACAGGGCTCCAAACTGTTTGGACACCTGCTGTGCTTCAGTTTGAAACAAGTTTCCTTCTGCTGTTCTCAGCCGTTCCTCCCATTAATTTAAAAGGTCGTGTCTGAAAGCAGCTCCGCATTCTGACACCGATACTTTTAAAGAAGTATTTGTTCTAATGAAATTCATTCAATTCCTTCTGACCTGTAGAAACAAAAGAAAACAAAATATCACGATGTAGATCGTTATCAAATGTGCTTAAAAATACGTTGTGAAATATATTTTAGGCCATATCGCCCATTCCTGCTCATAAAAGGTGGAAGTCCATCCTGCTGGTCTTTAGGGACCATGCATTTAGGGATTGGACCTCTCAGGACCAGTTAAGCCGGGCGGACACTGTGCGACTTTTTCCCTCGTAGCATTCAGCTTCAGCTCAAACTGTACGACTTCCTCGCAGGGCAGATCTCACGAGTCACGTGCTCACACTGCACGACCCAGTTCTCGGATGCGACCTGACTGCTCACACTGTACGTCTGGTAGCAACACGTCAGACCTAAGAATATGCTAAAAATAGCAGTTTTTACTCAACACGTCAGACTTTTTTGTCTTGTTTTGCCTGTTGTCCTTCGGGAGTGCTGCAGGAGGACACACAGGGATTTATGGGGGTTGGATGAGGAAAACGAAATAAAGAAAGTAAATCTGTGTTTTGTGATCAGTTTAATTTGACATGAACACGACAAACACGCTTTCTTGACAATCTTTGTGAGTAAAAAAAATGTGTAGAAATAAAAACGAACAGCGTGTGTTATTAGGGAAATAGCGGGGAGCGGTGTTGACGCATGATTGCACCGTGAGCGGTTCTGGTACTTTTTGGGTCACAGCTGCTCGCAGCGCCGCTTCAACCCTCACGAGGAACGAGCAAAATATCAAACCCTCCAGAAGTCCGTGCGAGCTCACGATTGCTGATCGGTAGCTGGTCACGTGGTGTTAATCGCCTCTCGTAACCCCCTGTACACGACGCTCGGCGCAAAACTCGCCCTGATCTCGTGGATTCTCGCACGAGTGGAAAATCGGCTCAAAACAGTGAAAAAGTCGCACAGCGTACGCCCGCCTTTAGTGGAGGGGTTGTGTAACTTAAACGATGAATGCTGAGGAGAAGAGGCTTCACGTGAATTGTTGAGACTTTTTATGAAAACCCACACCAAGACCGAAACAGAAGGTCTGACAATGAAGTACCATCAGAACCACCGTAGTAGAACCTGATTCCTGAGAGACGTTTTAGGCTTTGCGGTGTCACAGAGGGAAGAAACCCCTGATATGCTCAACACTCCTTTGTAGAAAATCCCTCTGGATGGTTTTCTCAGACATCTGGGTGCGGTGATGTGTTCTGAAGGTCATTACCCTCTCTAGGAGACTAATCTCATGGAAGTCCGGGCTGGTGTTGGCCAGTCGCTGCAGCGTGTGAGTCAGGTCAAAGTCCGTGCAGAAGTAGAAGCCATCTGTGGTTAACACGTTGTTGATCATAGACAGGAAGGTCTTATTCTCCTGGGACTAGAATAAAAAAAACAGACAGATCAAAGAAATCCACGTCTACAGGTTTAAACCATCTGATGTCTGTACTAGCTTCACTGGATGCAAGCAGCACAAGCATATTAATACAGTAGTGCTGGTAAACAAAATAAAGTTACAACAGGAATCATTTGAACTCCTGATTTTAAAGCAGGATGTGAGTTTGTGAAAAAGGACTAGGAGTAAGCTACTTTCTCAAACAAACTAGCGTCGTCCTTTCTGTTAGCTCGCAGCGGCGCGTGCCACATTTAGACACACAGATCTGACTGAAGACAAGCTGTAGCCAACAGAAAACAGGCCAGAAGCTCCAGAACCCACGCAAACCAAACTTCCTCCCACCTGCTTCCCTCAGAGGTTTAGAGATTTGCTGACCTGTATCTCTGACAGGTGCAGCATAGTCTTCTTATATGAGATGATGTCAAAATCCACAGCCTTCCACACGGCATGGCCCATGAGGCTGCCCACATTCCTCTTCCTGGTGATCACGATCAGGTACATCCCTGTGGCACACCTCAGTTTCACCAACTAGTTCAAATACCAGAACCAGCAGAACAGAACCGTTCTGTCGCCAGTGCCTACCTGCCACCAGGCGGATAGTTCCCATGACGCCACAGATGGGCCTGGTGACGGCTGAGGGGGGGACATCCTTTTTACCTGAGAACGTATCACAAAGGTGTGTGAATCAAGCTGGATTGAAAGGAACAAACAAAAACACGGATAAATTAAAACAGCTCTAAACATGTAAGGACAACAACGGAGAGCCAAGACGCTAAACCGTTCAGATATCCTGAAATAATCTCGATTATGATTGTCTAGTCCTGGTTCTTGACAACATCTATCCAACATGTTTTAGGGGTTTCTCTGCTCCAACAGCATGACGAGCTGCTGAACATGTATTCAACCACTGGATCAGATGTGTTGGAGCAGAGAAACAGCTAAAATAAGCAGAGAGTGGCCCCAGAAGACCAGGGTTGGACACCTTTGATCTAGATATAGGAGGATCTAATATTGTGTGATATTGTCAGTAGAGTCAGAGATGCGCTCCATATTGGAGCAAGCTAACCTGCGAGGGCCATCTCATTTGAAACCCTGTCGATTGCCAGCACAGCATCGGCTCCATCATCACAGGCCTCGATGAAGAACTTCTCAGGGGTCGTGTGCCTTGGGGGGTAAGAACAGACATTTTCAGACATAAAACTGCAGGACGTTGGTCTTCTGAGGCAGTTAATGTAGATCATGTCTGACTGAATGAGAGGACCAACACAGAATATAAAATAAAATCATGTTTATGTTACACAGGGAAGGCCTGGCACTGGTCACACGAGTGTCCTAAACTGAATTTAATCTGCGACCTGTCCCATTCACATGATTATCAGACTGAAGGAGAAACAAAAAAAGAACGTGGGAATTCAGTTTTTAAAGTGGAACTAATTCCTCTCAGAAAAAGAGAAGTCATTGTTTGGATGCCTGGGAGGGGCTCAGAGTAGAGCGACCGCTCCTCCGGAGTCAACAGGAAGTGAGATTTAGATAAAATGTCCCCTTTAAGAGGGCCTGGTTCTTATCTAAACAGCTGCAGAACTGAGACCCAAAATAAAGAAGATTGTAAAATAATTCCAGTGGTGTTGAGTTTTGAAATGAAAGTCTACATTTATCAGAACGGGCATGTCTAAAAGGTCTGGGCATTGCCACCATTGTTCTATATCTGGCTTTAAAGGCTGTTGGAGGAAGTCATGTAGGCGTGTGTCTGGTGTGCTGCGCTGCTAATACAGAGTTTGTTTTAGTTCAGATAACTCTCTCTTTAGTATGCTACGTTCCTGTGCAATCCTTGCTCCGAGTAATGAGTTAATAACAGAAACTACTGGCAACGCCGAGCATAGGGGTGATAATAATAAACCAGCTGAATGTCTCTACACAAGCCAGCTCTAACCTACCTTCGCAGAACACAAGATAACTGCAACAAGCAACTGGACCGGATGTCTCCAACAATGAGAACTAGGGCTGCACGATATTAGGAAAACCTGCGATATTCGATAACAGTGATTAATATTGCGATGGCGATATTACTTGTGATAAATAAAAACTTAACTCAGGAACTAAAATGATCAAAGACAAAGAAATAAAAAAAGTAATAAAAATGAGAAAAGCAAAAGATGTGAGGAAAGGGAAAAAGAAAATAAACAAGAAGAGGCAATCAGTGGATCCCGGGAAAAGCAGAATCAGCAGAAAGAGCAGAACTAAGCTAACTCATAACTCGGGTGTTTGCTAACCATCAAAATTAAGGGCCGTCCTTCTTTGGGACGGCACTCTAACCTATGAGAACCCACCCAATTGGCCAAATGGGTGAAGAGCTCTATTTGATTTGTTAAAGAAACGTAATACTTTTGTTTGATTGACAGGACGCATTATGTGTAGCAAACATTTGAGCTGACCATTCATTACCATATTTATCTGTTCTTTGCGATATGCATATTGTGCATGCTGATATCGCGATAACGATATATTTACGATATATTGTGCAGCCCTAATGAGAACTGAAACTAAAGTTCTCCAGGGTCCCAGCACAAGTATTATTACAGTCTTATTACAGTCTAACAGAAGAGGGATTACCAGATCCAAGCCTAACATCTGGTGTGGCGTTACTGGTTACTGCTGGTTACTAAACGGGTTACTGATCTGGAACATATTTTGCAGGAATGGATTTCTGAACCTTCCATTGTGGGTTTTGAAAATGGCTGCTGATTTACGGTCCACACGAACAGTTACGTGGATCTAAAAAGATTTTTCTTTGTTTAAAGGTATTGAACAAACACTGGGAAAAAAAAAAACATTTGGAAGGGAGTGGGACCCTTCCTTTGCAGATTACACACTACATGGCTCGGCTGCACATTTGTGTAGGAGGATTTGGTTGGTCCAAAAAAAAAAAAACGCAGTTCTGTTAACACGTAATGTGCTAGCTTAGCCATATCTACTTGGGGTTGTAGTTCTTTGTAGGAAACATGAACGACTCATTGCCTTTGTAACTGATATTGGGCAATAAATAATCCCAGGCTGCATCATTAATAAACAAAATTAACTACACTCAAATGCCTTCATCACCCTCAACCACCATCTCCTTCTCTGGTTCTAATGTTTCTCGTTTATCTGACCTCACAATTTTGGTGTGAAGAAAGATGCTTCCACAACTCAATCATATCAATCCACTCTGCAAGGCCTCCCATCACCTCTGGAACATTTCTAAACTTTGCTCCATTCTTTCCCAACCTGATGCTGAAAAGCTAGTCTATGCACTGATCTCCTCCACACTGGACTATTGTAGCACTCCTCCTAGGGAGCTCTAGGAAGAGCAAGCACAAGCCATCCCAGGGGCCTCATGTATCAACCATACTTATGCACAGATCTGTGCGTATATCACATGTAGGAACTAATTTACACATTGTGTGGCATTCATCATTTTGTACCTGGGAGTGGAAATATTCCAAAACATAAGAAAACTTCACACCATGTGTAGGAACAGCATATAGTGGTAGAACTGCTTCCGACACAGTGGACCATCATATTTTAATGTCACACTTGGAGTAATGCGTCGGGATTCGTGACAACGGGTCTGGAGTGGTTCCGATCATTTCTGGCACAGAGAAGTTTCTCTGTAAACAGTTTCCACCCTTCCTCTGCTCCATTGTCATGTGGGGTTCCTCGGGGCTCAATACTTGGTCCTCTGTTTTTTAGTCTTTATCTGCTGCCTCCAGGGTCCACTTTTAGGAAGCACATAATTGCCTTCCATTGCTATGCAGACGGTACACAGATGTATCTCCCGCTAAAACAAAAGGATGGCTGCAGTATAAAATCTCTAGCGGTTTGTTTGGATGAAGCTAAATGTTGGATGGATTTTAACTTTTTAAATTTTAAAGAGAAAAAGACAGAGATAATTGTCTTTGGTACTGGTACCTCCAGCAGGCCCACTCCTATGGACTTAGGCCCCCTGGCTCTGCACAGAAATCCAACAGTGACCAGCTTGGGTTTTAAAATGGACAGTGATTTTAGGTTGGACAGTCAGATCAGTGCCGTTGTCAAATCCAGCTTCTTTCATTTGAGACAGTTGGCAAAAGTAAAGCACATTTTGACTAGAGGATTTAAACACTGTATTCCATGCTTTTATTACAACTCGCCTGGATTACTGTAAGTCTTTGTATTTTGGTATGAGCCAGTCCTCACCGTCTCGACTTCAGCGGGTGCAAAATGCTGCTGCTCGACTTTTAACTGGTACAGGGAGGAGTGAACGCATCACTCCTGTTTTATCGTCACTGCACTGGCCGCATGTCCATTTTAGGGTTCATTTTAAACTTCTTTTATTTGTTCTTAAGTCTTTAAACGGTCTTGCCCCGTCCTACCTCTCTGAGCTATTGCACATTCACTCCTCCTTTCAGTCGCTCAGGTCATCTGACCAGTTGCTCCTGGACGTTCCAAGGACACCGCGTAAGCTCAGAGGGGATAGGGCCTTCGCCGTTGCTGCTCGCAGACTATGGAACTCTTTGCCGGCACATCTTAGAAAGGACTCCTCACTGGAAACTTTTAAATCATCTTTAAAGACCCACCGTTTTAGCTTGGCTTTCGACACCGTATGAAGTTTTGGATTTCTATTTGATTTTAGTGTTTTATTTTAGCGTGCTTTTAATTTTTATACTGTATTCTATTTTATGCTTTTATGTTTAAATGTTCAGCACTTTGGTCAGCGAGAGCTGTTTTTAAAGTGCTTTATAAATAAAGTTGGCTTGGCTAGAACCCCAACACCGAAGGTCTCAGTCATCCACACATGTTCCCCATCCACAAATTATTTTACCCATTAAAATAAATATTTCGGGAGAAAAACAGCTGAGTTAGGGGTGGGCAATATAAACGATATAAGGTAGAAACTATCTAAAATTGGGTAATAGAGTTTTTGGCTATATCGCAATACCGCAACAACACATGACGTCACTAAGATGTGCACCCTGCTGACATTGGGGCAACAGAATGGCAGTGACTGCAAGCATGGAGTGGGTGGAGGAGGAGGCCTATACGCCTCATGTGGCATATATTTGCCACATGAGGATATTTAAAAGCATGTCATTTTGACATATATAAACAGAGGAAATAATATATCGCAATATATATCGTTACTGCACATGCTTCAGATTATATCGCAATATAGATTTGAGGCCATATCGCCCTAAGCTGAGTCACATAATTGGTGCTACAACACCCAACAGGAATCTGACATTGTGGAAGGGTTGTCATCTTTTTTTGTAATCACGATTTTTTCTCTTCCTATTTTATGATGTTTTAAATCTTTTAATTAATTAATATTATTCTAAATTTAATGATGTTATATTTTTGCCCTTGTGAAACACCTCGTGAGTTTGCTTGAGATGCGCTAGATAAAAGAACAACTCTATATTATTATTATTAAGGATTCGTCAGCATGTGCTCTCTGGAGTAAACGCGTTTCCGTAAGTGCACTGACAGGAGATCCTTCCAGAACTATGCTGCTTTTTATTATTTTACAACTACGAGTACCCCCGAACCTCCTCTGCATCCCGAGCACACACGTTGTCAAGGTAACTAGACTGACTGACAGCTCAGAAGAGGCTGCACTCAAAAATTTTCAAATAAAACGAACACCATCCAGAATGACTCCTTAAATGTAAAATGTAAAAGACATCCCGCTATTCTACAATTTATCATATTAAAGTTTTTATTTATTCCTGACGGGAACTTCTCCTCTTTCCCAATCGCATTTATAACCTCTGCAAATTGTTCTTTTGCACTTCGGCAACCAGTGTCTCAATCTCGTACGTTTTTTTTTCTGGGTAAGACGCAGGGAATCCCCTCACATGCGGAGGACGTAGCGAGACCAAATATGGTTAATTGAGGGTGTTTCTGTATGTAAATGACTGAGAACAGACACGAGCACCTGGGTGCGCACAGGAGGGATTTATCTTCAGACGAGTGCGGAGGACCGTGCGTACGAGAGGCCACCGCATATTCCATAAATCAGGATTTTGACCGTTCGTACAAACATTCCAAATTTCATTCATAGGAACAAATTTAGGAATATTTCAACAAACGTTTGATGAATGAGGACCCAGGACTCTGATGAGTTCCACCCATTTCATGATGTAACCCTGGGGTCCCAATAAAGCATTGTGAGCCACATAGAAGAAGGTGGCAGCTTTGGCAACACACACCATAGCTGTGAGCTGGTTAGCGGGGACATCGCCTGATGGCCTGGCCTACTCTGAGAATGCTGACGATACAGTCGGGTCAAGCTTGATTGGTAAATAAACTCATTAGGGCATCCACCTTGCTGAAGCTCACACAGGAGCCCACCACCTCCCCTCTGATTAATCTGCCAATATTGTCAAGAAAGTCACATCAACCTACCTGTAGGCAGATGAATAAATACGGCACTAAATATTTCTGTTAGTCCATAAAAGAAGACAGGCCTTACTCTGAATGTGCTTGTACTTTCCCTTGTTCATGCCGTGCTTCTCTTCCTTAGTTTGAGATATTCAACAAGCATAAACAATATTCTTCCAACATCATCTCTAATGATAGACCACTGCCTTCCCCAAGGGTCGGTTTCCAGCATATTTTAGTTGTGTCCCTGCTTCAACACACCTGATTTTAATCAGCAGATGACTAACAGTATCTGCAGAGCTCCGTGGGCTGCTGAGCTGGTGAGTGAACTGTGTTGGAGCAGGGAAACAACTAGCACATGCTGGGTATTGGCCCTGGGGTTGTAATAGACCGCTGAAAGCACCAGTGATGAAAGGAACTGTTTAAGCAGCTTTAAATCCCCTCAGAGGAAGAATACATCCACCAGATTTAAAGTCTGGGGGGAAATGGTCCAGCTGCTGTTGGACAGGCACAACCCTTAGTCTGACTCTGATCTGCAGTCTGGCTCAGACTACTGAGCAGGGAGACAAACTGGTACGGCTAGCTCGTTATTTCAAACAAGGTGTGTCTGTCAAAGTACACAAGCCGGTTCATGGAACTGCGTTTGGGTTTGGTGCCATCAGCATCTGTTGCTGTTCACTTTGACATCATGGTGGTTGATGTTTGAACTGTCTCACAAAAAACAACTTTTCGCTGTTCTCGGCGGCCTTCAGAACCAGGGCAGAACCGGAAGTTCCAGAGAGCTCTGATGGTGTTTACAGACGGACTACAACAGGTTTCCCTCTGAACAAATGAATGAAGCTCCTGCTAGCTCCAGCTAACTAACTTAGCCTCAGAACCGGTCAGCAAACTTTAGCCGCTGTGTCATCCACCTAAGCGGAACCCTGGAGTCCCGCTCTCCACCCACCCCCTCCCAAGCTGCTCTTCTTTATTTCATCTTAACTCATCTGGATTTAGATTAGGCGAGGAAGCCAAATGTTTATCAAGATTAAATGAAGACTACTTACAGATTGTATCTCTCGTAGACGGTCGCCATTTTCCTTCCGTCTGGCTGACTTCATTGACGTCAGCAGCGTGCGTGACTTCCCTGCGTTCTGGATGCTGCCAGTTTATTGGCCAATCAGAGCACAGAACTCCTCAAGACCTCAAGACCCAAGCCTGCGCACCTATGCGAATGAAAGAGCACATCCAAATCAGATCTGGATGTTATTATCAAGTTTGAATGTAATGATAAAAGGTTAAGTTTTATAATTAATTTAATGCTTCTTTTAGGGAAATTTCATATACATAAAGTGAGGGTCTCCAAATCTCTCCCTAACTTTTGCGTTTTCTTAAATGACTTCCATTCATATGTTAACACCATAAAGTTAATTGTAAATACGAAGGCAGAACTCACTTTAATAAGTCTTCAATGTTTATTTCTGATTGACCCTGTATAACAAAAACAATCAAAAAAATGTACCTTTTGGAAGGTTGTATTATCTGTTATGTGCCTCTTGTCGATTAATGAGCTGATGTCTGTTCGTGTGTATATTTGATGTATGTTTGTTAGTGTGACTATGTATTTGTGACAAAAACAAATAAAGTTTGTTAAAAAAAAAGAGCACTCTTTAAGAGTTTTTCGGATCTTCTTACGTTATCTCATCGCGGAGCAGTAGATAAAAAAATAAACAAAGAAAGGAGAGGAAGAATGTGTTTCGTTGTGTCCCAGTTTGAAAGGTCAATTTAAAAAAACATACAGGACAGCAGGGGCGGTTCTGGGGGGGTGAGGCGACGTTGGGGTGAACAACCCAAAGTCATGACAAACAAACCTTTTGTAAAAACACACAAAATGAACACACACACACATACTGAACACATGCGTCACAATATTTGGATGATGTTGGGATGAGAAACCCACAATCCTGATGTTTTGGTGATGTTGAGGTGATCACCCCAAAATCACGACATAGGCCACCACACTCCTTATGGTCAAGCCAGTGTCGGTACCAGATATCCTTGGGCAGCCAGATCTACTCAGGGTCCTGTAGTCTGCCAAATACGTCACAGTAGATGATTGGATGAACAAAAGACTTATGGAAGTTATGGCACAACGTTCATAAAAGTTATGTTAGCACATTGACAATGAAGATTTTGATTGGTCCGAACAAATATATGGTTGTAATCTTAGCAGTTGTAGTCCTGTAGTCTAAAAATCAACACTTTTCAGAGAAAATGTGTTTGAATTTCCAAAGGAAATGTAAATAAAAGCCAAGATATTGTGAAAGACAGAAGACGGGAGTTGCCAGATTCTTAGGGAGTGGTGATCGAACGCCGGCTGGTCCTTGTTACGGGTAATGAGGCTGGAGAGAACAAAAGGGTGGCAGATCTACCAAGGTGGTGTGTGTGGTCGACCTGTCATTGTGGCACCAGAGTGAGCCACTTGGGCCAGCTCCTCCGGGGGAATCCTAAGGCATTCCCTGGCCAGGTGAGAGACATAGTCCCTCCACCATGTCCTGGGTCTACCTTTAGGTCTCCTCCCGGTTGGACGTGCCCGGAAAACCTCACCAGGGAGGCATCCTGGAGGCATCCTGACCAGATGCCCGAGCCATCTCAACTGGCTCCTCTCGATGTGGAGGAGCAGCGGGTCTACTCCGAGCCCCTCCCAAATGACAGAGCTTCTCACCTTATCTCTAAGGGAGAGCCCAGCCACTCTTCAGAGAAAACACATTTCGGCCGCTTGTATCCGCGATCTCGTTCTTTCGGTCACTTCGCCTTCTGACTCAGCTCTCTCTTCACCACGACAGACCGGTACAACGCCTGCATCACTGCAGATGCAGCACCAATCCACCTATTGATCTCATGCTTCAGTTTTCCCTCACTCCTGAACAAGACCCTGAGATACTTAAACTCTTCCACTATAGGGCAGGACCTCATCCCTGACCCGGAGAAGGCATTCTACCCTTTTCCGAATCAAGACCATGGTCTCAGATTTAGAGGAGCTGATTCTCATCCCAGCTGCTTCACACTCGGCTGTGAACCGCTCCAATGAAAGCTGAAGATCGTGTTCTGATGAAGCCAACAGGACCACATCATCTGCAAAAAGCAGAGACCTGATCCTTAGGCCACCAAAACAGATGCCCTCCACACCTTGGCTGCGTCTAGAAATCCTGTCCATAAAGGTTATGAACAGAATCAGTGACAAAGGGCAGCCTTGGTGGAGTCCAACTCTCACTGGGAACGAGTCTGACATACTGCCGGCAATGCGGACCAAGCTCTGACACCGGTCATACAGGGACCTAACAGCCCGTATCAGAGGGTCTGGTACCTCATTCTCCCGAAATACCCCCCAGAGGGCCCCCCGAGGGACGCGGTTGAACGCCTTCTTCAAATCCACAAAACACATGTAGACTGGTTGGGCGAACTCCCACGCACCCTCCAGGATCCCCCTAAGGGTATAGAGCTGGTCCAGTTTTCCACGGCCAGGACAAAAACCACATGGCTCCTCCTGAATCTGAGGTTCAACAATCCGACGGACCCTCCTCTCCAGAACCCCTGAATAGACCTTACAAGGAAGGCTCAGGAGTGTGATCCCCTTGTAGTTGGAACACACCCTGCGGTCCCCCTTTTTAAATAAGGGGACCACCACCCAGGGGCGTCGGACTGGGGGGGGAAAGGGTACTGTTTACCCAGGGCCCACTGCAGGGAGGGGCCCTGAGACAGCTTTAAATAAAAATGTTTTATTGTTATTGTTTTTTTCCCCCAACTTAATGTCTTAATAAACTTCCCGTTACCTGGATAAAGGGGTTCAGAAACAGAATTTCGCCTTAAAAATAATAACTGAATAATCTCCGAGGCATCTATCACCCCTTAAAAATGTGCAAAGTGGTTTAGTCCACACCAGCGGCCAGGGGCTGCACGGCCGCATGTACAGCTATGAGACATCGCAGATGCCGACAGCCAGAGCTGGAGGCAGGAGAGTCAGGCATGTCTTTTCCCAACAAAGGGAAATCTGGCTTCCAGAAAAGAAAAGAAAAGAAAAGAAAGGAAAAGAAAAGAAAAGAAAAGAAGGAGAAAAAGTTAACTGAACAGAAGCAAGTATTGACTAGGGTTTTCAAGAAGGAAGGTGAGCAGCAGCAGCAGAACACAGTTTTAGCTGATATTAGCTAGCTCTCAGAAGCTGCATTCATGTTAGGTGTTCAGTGTTAAACGCCTTTAGTTTCACCATCAAGATCAAATATAAATTAATTAGTGTTGTCAGTGAAAACACTAATTTATATATATATATTAATCAGAATTATTATCGTGGGCGGCCGCCGCCAATTAATTCGCGGACCTCGCAGTAAAAACAGGTTCACTCTGTGTGGATATTTCAGCTCCTTCCCAGTCATGGACCAGGACAAACTTGGTATCGATGGATTTGTGGTAATCTCAGGAATGAGAAGCTGCCACTGTTTTTCGTATAGCATGATGACACTGGTGTTAGAGGATTGTTATTGTCTTGGTTAGATATTTTAAGCCTATTTTAAATTTCTTTATATTTGATCTTGAAAACGGACAATCTTATAATTTGGCTGATAATGCAGGGATTATAACATTTAGAGTACATTACATTCACAGAGAGAACCTGGTTTATTTCATGTCATATGTATTTAATATATCAATGCATATCAGCAAAGCTTAACATCATGAACCATGACAGACATGACTGAAGAGCAGATGAAGATATCATGCCAGGCACTGATGAGAAAATATTACAAGGATCTCACAGCTGAATTTGAGAATGAGATGCTACACCTGAGAACAATATATGGTGCCACATTTCCACACATTTGGTCTCCTCTTGAGCTGCTTAATGCCATACAGGATGCAATTACAGAGCATTTTTGGAGAAGTTTGTATTGGACTGAGGATATTTTGCACACTACCTGTGACTGTTGCTGGGGGTGAACGGGCTTTTAGCAAACTGAAACTGGTGAAAAATTATTTGAGATCAACAATGTCCCAGGATAGACTGAACAGCCAAGCTCTTCTTTCTATTGAAAGCCAATTAGCCAAAGGATTGGACTTTAAAGATCTCATAAGTGATTTTGCTAACATGAAGACCCGTCAGTGGGCATTTACTGGAAAATAAATTCCAGGATTTTTGTTTGAACACATTGTTGGCAAATAAAAATAATTATATGTGAAGTCTGGGCATTTCACTTTTATTATGCTGGCATTTGTATTTGCTCAATATAGAGGTTAAACTAAGATCATATTTATTATCTTGTCTTATGGCATGACAAAAAATGTTTAAGAGAGATATTAAGTAATTGAGCATGGGGGCCCACCTAGAAGACTTGTACCTAGGGCCCAGAATTTGGTGCTACGCCCCTGCCACCACCCCAGTCTGCCAGTCCAGTGGGACTGCCCCTGATGTCCACGTGATATTGCAGAGCCGCGTCCGCCAACACAGCCCCACAACATCCTGAGCCTTAAGGAACTCCGGGCGGAACTCATCCACCCCTGGAGCCTTGCTACGGAGGAGCTTTTTAACCACCTCAGTGACCTCAGCACCAGAGATTTGAGAGGCCAATCCAAAGTCCCCAGACTCTGCTTCCTCACTGGAAGATGTGTCAATGGGATTGAGGAGGGCTTCGAAGTATTCTGCCCACCGATCCACAATTTCCTGAGTAGAGGTCAGCAGCACACCGCCCCCACTATAGATGGTGTTGGTAGTGCACTGCCCCCCCCCCCACCACCACCACCCCAGACCCCCCGGCATCGGATGTTGGACCAGAATCTCCTCGAAGCCGTACGGAAGTCTTGCTCCATGGTCTCACTGAACTCCTCCCATGCCCGGGTTTTTGTCTTGGCGACCACCCGAGCCGTGATCCGCTTGGACTGCTGGTACCCGTCAGCTGCCTCTGGAGTCCCACAGGCCAAAAAGACCTGATAGGACTCGTTCTTCAGCTTTACAGCATCCCTAACCGCCAGTGTCCACCAGCGTTTTTGGGGGTTGCCACCACGACAGGCACCAACGATCTTGCGACCACAGCTCCAGTCGGCCACCTCAACAATGGAGGCACGGAACAGGGTCCATTCAGACTCAATGTCCCCCGCCTCCCCTGGAACATTTTGGAAGTTCTGTCGGAGGTGGGAATTGAAGCTCCTTCTGACAGGAGACTATGCCAGACGTTCCCAGCAGACCCTCATGATACGTTTGGGCCTATTTTTTAAGCTGAAGGTGGCGCTATACTGTGGTATTTAGGCAGAATTTTTAATTTTTAAAGAAACTGCACCAAAATGCTAAAATAATGAATACACACATTTAAAACACTATTAGACACTCATTTATACAGTTTATCAGCAAAAAAAAAAAGTTAATTTAGACGTTACTTGCTCTTTATGTCTGGCTGAATGTTTATGATTTAACAAATGATCAAATTACTAAAACCATCGAACACCAGGTGTGATGTATGGTACCCGTGTGATGAGGTTTCTCATCAATCCTGCTGGCCACAAAGTCTCCTCAGCACTAGGGGGTGTAACAATATCCAGGTCTCACGATACGATATTTATTGCGATATTGAAGGGAGGTTCACAATAATAAGACTCACAACATAAAATACTTAGACGGTCATTGGTTCATTTTTCATTATCTTTATTATCATTATGACATTTTGAATAGCCTGAAAAGCAATAATGTGCAAAATTCAAGTACCAACTCAATATATATTTATAAAAGAAATGGCAATACAGGTACAGAATAAACTGCCAAAATAAAGGCATTATTAAACAGCCCATTCAATAAATAAAAATACCAGGCTGTGTGGGTTGCATGCACTCCCATTGGCGAACTGGCCGATGACACTGAAGCAAAGGATCATGGTCTGTGTGGTTTACTTTGCTATGCTCCTGTGGAGCAGATTGAAAAGGGCTATTTTTACCTCAAGACGTACTGTACAATATTGTGACAAGACCACGAAGATATTGTGGCCATTATACTACGGCGATTTCGCGATACTGCCAATATTGTTACAGCCCTAAGCATGCAAGTAGTTTGACTTCTAGATGTCAAAGGTCGTATTCCTCTGAATCTGCATCAGCTGGTCAGAGATAACTTAAGGGTCTTCTGGCGAGACGTTTCATGTCCGATGAGTTGTTTCTCTGGAGTTTTGTTGTTTTGCAAAGAAAGTCTGACCTTGGAAAGGATAGTTCACATGCTTACTGACCCAGTTTGGCCCAAACTGGGCAGCTGGCTGGAACTAAGTTTTTAGAGGAAGTGTTACTCCTTTTATTAATTGTTGTTTATAGATTTAGACAAATCAGAATCTACTAAGTGTAAAATGGGCGTTTAAGTCCTTAGACACCACTCCTTCCTCAAACACTTAGAACAGGCTTTTTTCATTTAATATGAAGTAAACATGTTAAACAGTCATTTATTAATATTGTAATATTAATATGTGAATATACTGATAATAAATCATTATTACATTCAACAAGTAGACTCATTTGTGGTATTTAATATCTGAAATAAAGCATTATTTCCAGAGTTATGGTGATTCATTCATTACTGTGAAGCAGTCTATAATTTTAAAACACTTTAAATAAAACATTAATTCCTAAATGTAATTGTTCTTAACCTATGAAGTAAAGAAATCATTTTAGGAGCCAGAATAATACATTTTTAATAAAAGGGAGTGAGATAAAAGTCTTGTCTCCTGTAAGAGATATTTTGTGAAGAGACCTGGAGTCGTAGGTCCGATAAAAATAAGTCAGATTTTTCCTTATCGTTTCCTCCTGGTGTCATGAGTGTCATGACACCGGTGCACACTGATGAAGCAGTCTATGTTACAATATTTAAAAATGTTTCATAACTAATTCAACTGAGAAATCACAAAGATTACAATCAGATTTTCAACAAACATTCTGTGGACCAATTGAGCTTATCAACAAAAGGAGGAGTGAAACTTCTGAGCACACTGGACAAGGAACTAAGAAACTGTCTGACAATCATTTGCTTTAAAATATCTGCAAAGAAGAAATTATTAACTCATACGAAAACATAACAAATGAATAATTCACGTGTTGCAATTGCAGTTGTGACTCATAGCTACTTATGTAACTCCAACTATATGGAACTCAAAAGTATTCAAAATTCAATAAATAAATAAGACATTATGAAATAAATATCTACATGAGGAAATACTAGACAATCTTGTAATGTGACAATTAAATGATGAAATAACAGAATGTTATGTAAAATCTAAGCTCAGTATTATGAAAAATTGTTCATTCTTCTTTTAAAATGTCATTGTTAATATAATGTTTTTTTTTCAAAAGTCCTTTTTTATAATAATCCAAATTAATATTGAGCTACTTTTATTTAATTCATTCGGTTTTTATTACATAACGTCTTTTTAACAAAGACAGCTTTTATTTCACAGTAGTGTTTTTTCCCATGGCTGATTTATTTCATAATGAGACTTTACTGCAGAATGTCTCAGTCCGTCAGTCAAGCCAGTGGGTGTGACCTGCAACACTATTGATTAATCCTTCAACATCGTCCTTCATTTTATTTTATTTGTAATTTATTTTAGCTTTATTTAATTGTCTTATTTCATTATATTTTATAATGTTCATATATATACACACACATATATATATTTATTTATTTATTTTTGTTTCTAGTTTGTTTTATCTCACGTCTGTGTCATGTTGATACCATCTATGGACAAAATAAGCATCGGTTTCTGACTATTACAATTTTGATTGATCTATTTCATGACCTAATTATACAATGAAAACACTTACAATGCAAAATTGAAATAAATTTATTTTGGTTTAAAAGGAGAATTCACCTAACAATGGAATATTTCCTTTGTATTCCACGATATAGTCTGTTAAAAGTACAGCTTTTATCCATTTTGTCTACTCAGATTATATCATAATATTCATCGGGTGACATTTCAAAGCAGTTTAAACATCCTTTTAAAGGAACACAGGCAATGCTTAAGCTACCTAAGGCGCGCTAAAGCAGGACCCCATATAAAACCAACGATTCGGTTGCTGCTCGATCTCTGAGCGCCTCAACTTCATTCCGACTAGATGAGAGGGTGCTGGGAAATGTCCAGATTCATGAGAAATCCAAACCCGACAGGATTCAGGACATTTGAAAGTTATTTTAAGCTTATATGTATGCAGTCTCTCAGGCTTTTATAGGCCTATGGTAAAGGAAACGGAATGCAGCGCGTGCAGCGGCCCTCGTCAGCACGTGGCACGGCAGTAAGACGGCCTTGACTCAGCTGGAGGTTGTTGGTTCTCTTGGTCCTTTACCGGGGAGCCTTTTACCGACTCCGCTGCTCTACAAGCTGCCAAAGGACCAACGGATAAACTGCATTAGTTTATGGTTTATTCCATTTACCACAGCAAATGTTGGATGAAGGTAAATATGACCAATGTTTATAAAAACAAACATCTGTAATTTAGTTATTTTATTGGCCACCAGACTTAACAGCAGGGCTGACGGTACTGAGTGCGTTCAATGTTAACGTGATCTTAATTTTGATGTTTTCTGAGCCCCCCCCCCCCCCCCCCCCCCTTACAAATTACAACCAAGAAGAGGTTAGGGGTCAAGTTTTACTTTAGTCCTCATCTAGGTCAATTTTATTTTAATTTGAAAATCTATGTCATGTTTTTAAAGACTGAATGTTCTTTGGTGTTTTCAGGTTTATACTGGAGATGCAGAATGAAGACCACTTGCCTGCAGACGTGAACAGTGAGTTGGGATGTATTACACAGACTGGTTAAGCACATCAGCAGCAGTCATTTAAAAAAAATATATAGATTTTCTATAAATGTCTCTGATCATCTGTTTCCAGCAGCAGACAATAAGCCAGGGCTAGTCGAAAGTAGTCTGTACAAAATGGATAGGCAGAGTTGACAGGATTACATCTTTATGTTGCCTGAGATGAGCGGGTTAAGTTTCCTTTTAATGACTGTTGCTGAATGAATCTTAACTAATGTAATGGTTTTGAGCAACAAAAATAATTTAACTGCTGTGACCCAACCTGACCTCTTAATGGCTTGCTGCTGTGATGATTCATAGATTGGAATCTCTGAGAACCCATGAAGCTGTCTAATATTGCACTGAACAAGCAATGATAATGATCAGCTTCAGTCAGAGCAGCCAGGCCTGGACCTCATTCTGATCTTTGATTTTCAGATTATCTACAGCGTCCCACCAGCTAGATCAAGCTTCTTCAGGTAAGCTTCTGCTGTACTATGTTTACATTTATGTTTCTGTGGGATGATGATTCTTAGACTAGAGTCTCTGAGAACACATGAAGTTGTTTCACTCCGAACTGACCACACACCACAGTGGAAGTCGTTTTGCTGGAGATCTTGGTTACTGCTGGGCTTGCTTCAGGGAACTTGGTAAAGTTCGCATCTGAAAGTCAAGTAAGACATGTCCTGTGTCCCTGGAAGGAACAAGTCAGTTGACTGAAATGTCAGCCCCAGCAGTAACTGATTGGCTGCAGTAAACGGACCACCACATGTGGACAGTGCAGTTCCAGATGTTGCTGTTAAAAACATTCCAGTGATGAGGTTCTCCTTGCAGGTGATCCGCAGTGGTGGCAGGAGGTCTGTTGAACCCTTGTGTACCAGTTACTGTGAATGCTGAACTTCATTGTAGACCTTCTCTTTCAAAAGGTCAGGAAACCCCCAACCACAGAATCTTAATGAATCGTTCAAAAGTTGACCTGAGGACTAGAATTTGAGATCTTTCCCTATAAGCAGGTCAGGGTTTTTTGCTTCTAGTTGTCTGGTCGGTTGATGATGAAAATGCAGTTTTCGGTTCTACTGATGTTAACTGAAGTGTACTCGCAGCGCACTGACACCACCAGACAAGGAGCCGAGGCTTCTGATTCTCGGTCTGTTGGTGCTGCAATGTTAACCCAGAGGTTTTGTTTTTCAGGTTCTGAGTTCCAACCAGTTTCTGACCTCCCAAGTACGACATTGCATCGTTGCCATCAAGGACCAACACATCTTACACGGGACCTTGCATCAATACAAAATATTCTTTTTAAATAACGCTTTTGTGATTTTTATTAATGCAAAGCTTTTACTCTGAATGTTGAACCTTAAGTGTGGATGTCTATAAAAAAAATAAAGGCTCTGTAAACCATATTTCATTTGTTTAGAATTAATAAACTGCTCCGCTGTTGACTGAACTTAACGTGTCACATGAATGTGTTAGTCATTTGTTGTGCCATCGCATTGTCTATAGTTAAGTTAGCTCCTGATGTTTTAGGTTGAAACCTTGTAGTTGCTGTGTCATGTTAAACTGAAAGGTCAAAAGCCATCAGGCAAAACATTGTGCGGCTGAAACTGATTTTATGCTATAAAAACAAAATGTGCACGATTGTTGGCTGGAGACTGGCCTCAAGTGGGTGGTGTCATTTCTGCCATGGCAACATCACAATAACTTGATATTGATATGGTATCACTGTGGGGTTATATACTGTTGATCTAAAGTGGAATTACCCTGTGGAAACCGCAATTTGCCATTTAAGAGCATTTTGAAATCGTTAAGAGTCGGTCAAATGTGGGCAATTTCAAATTGCTGTGGTTGGATAGTGTTGATACAAAATGCAACTACTCTTTGGAAATATGACTTGCTTTTAAGAGCATTCTGAAGTCATGGAGTTCAAAAATGATATTTCACAGGGCTTTTACTTTGAAATCCAAATTAAGATGGCCTTGATATTGACAGGCCGTTAATGGTGAACAAACCTAAATTATATGTTCTTAAAAATATGTTAATTCAGTGAACAAACCTAAATGATATGTTATGTTCTTAAAAATGTTAATTCACTCGAAGTTTACTTTTATTTTGAAATCCGGTTTCCACGTCCCTTCCCGTTATACTTTGAATAGACGGGGAACTGACAATAAACGGGTGGCTGGCTTGACACAAGTGCCATGTAGACGTTCCTTTGCTAACAGAAGGCTAGTTAGTACCTGTACCTCCTCCCGGTTTGGTTTTGAACCGGAGTGGATCAGAAAGACCTCAGTAGTACTAACTAGCCCGACTAGACGCGCCCTTTACACTCCATAACCGGAAGTTCCTGGAAGCTAAACGAGCTAACAACGTAGCTAATGGCCGGTCCCTGGATAGCGTCACTAAAGGTGAGCTTCATGTTTTATTTGCTAAAATAAGACACTAACGTTTTCAAATGTTTTATCTGTGACATTATGTGGTTAGATTGTGTTTGTTACATAATGTGATTTAAGTTGTGAACTGTTGGCTAACCAGGAGGACTTAAGTGGAGCTAAAAATTAAGTACGTGTTTTGTGTTTTCAGGAGTGAGAAGTAGACTGGGGCATTTGCCGTCTCTCTCAGCCTAATGGTTTCTGATCTGAGGCCAACTTCCCATAACTGGATCCCCCCTCCAGGTTAGATCCCGTAGCCCGCTGTTCTGGTCTACGTGGGGTTCACGCCAGCGCGAGCCTTCTCTGTCTGCTAAACTGGTTCTGGGATCCTGCGGGTGTGTCCCAGACCTAGGAACTGTCAGAACCGGGTCTGACTCTGGAGAATTTTTAGCATCAGAGATCCGGAGGTAAACAGACTAGTTGTTGTTTATCTAATTCCCTCTAACCAGAACATGACCGCGGTTGTGGGCAGAGCCTGGGGTTGGGTCCGGTCCTGGACTAGCCATGATCCTCCAGAGAAGACAACTCTGATCAATGAGACTGAAAAGCAACCTGACAAAGGTGTGTGGGGCGTCAGAGGCTGGACCTCTTGGATTTGGGGAGGATGGAGAAGACCGAGAGACCAAAATGTCACTGCAGAGCGGTTCTGGGAGGCCCAGGAGAAGCTGCAGCCCGTCGAGATTGAGGATCTTAGAGCAGGTAGACCAGAACCAAAGTCTAACGCGCAGGTATCTCGATGGTGGAATAGATATCTCCCAACTTCCATCTGGCCAAGAAAAACAGATGTAGGTGGACTGAAACGGAGGAGAGTAGGTAATCCGTGGCAGCATGATGATGAGGACTTCTCTGATTATGGAACACCTCCTCCGTCTCCTACACCCCCATTCCATCAGATGACCTCTCCATTTCGGTTTTTTGCACAAAGCTGGAAGGTGGAAATCGTTCCGGAACATTATGAGATTTGCTTCAACTTCATCCGTCACCTGTTTGACCTGTTCGTTGTGGCCTTTTTGTGGACCGTGTCCCCTCCTGCCAGGCTTATCCTGGAGGTGTTGGGTGTTCAGGGAGCTCTGAGGTTGTGGTTTCATGGGATGGCCATGTTCTTCGTGTCCACGGTTGGAATGGCAGGATTACTCTGGTTGATCCAGGAGTATCTCCCTCAGTTTGCTCTGATCTACGGCATCATCCAGGCAGTGGTGATCTCCATCAGCGTCCGACAGAGCGTGATCCTCGGTGTGGAGGAGGACAAAGAAGAGCAGGAGATGGATGTGAAGGAGGCGGGTGAAGAGAGAGACATAGACCATGAAGCTGAGCTTTAGCTTCAGCGGGATTCCTGGGGCGAGGTCAGGTTGTGGTAAACCTGACATGTTTAAACACTTTGTGCCACTTTATAAAAGTATTTTTGTCTCAGACTGGTTATTTGTAGGTTTTCTTTAATTGACCACTCCAGTTACATCTAAATACCTTTAAAAATAAAAGCTTCATAGCTTTAAAACAATAGTCACACAACGATCTGGTACAGAACACCTGAATGCACATTCGTCTTCACGGAGTGTTTTTGGTTCCTGAGAGAAGCTTCAGAGGACTGAAATCCAAACTCGGACCTAAAACGGAAACCAGATGTCTCCTTTTTTCACAGCAACAGCCTGCTCAGGTTCAAAGCTGCTACGCCGGACCGATCCAAGCTGACCAGAACCTTCCACTGCTGCAGCTTGAACCTCTAAAGGTTTCAGTTGTGTGTGAGGAAATGATAGTTTTAAGTTCAGGGTTCTTTTTTTACCCCCAGTTGTGTTCGGTCTCTTGTTCTGAGTTGACCGTTAGATTCTGATCTGGTGTTTTCCTCCGCTGACAGCTGAGGTACGGTTCCGTAATCCAGGTTTTTCTGAGTAGAAATCCTTTAAACATGTAAAGTCTTATTTCTTTGCTGCTTCTACATTCGGACACTCCTCTCGTCTACATGTGTAAATACATTTTACTTCTTGGCTTCTACTTTATATTTCAGACCCAACAAACCGGGACAACACTTTAATGAGTGATGCCTAAAGACGTGTTTGTTAATAAGCTGCTGCTGTTGAACGTGGAAACACTCCCGCTGCACACGTGTGCATTCTCACACTCGTTATTTTTGAAAAGTACAAGGTGACAGCAGCTGTTTCATCTGGGGTGAAAATGTGACACCGTCTTCACTTTATTCTGTTTTAATAAAGAATGTTCTGCTGTTGTATGAAACGTTTGTTTTTGTTGGTGAAACATCTGGATAAGAAGCCTAACCGTAGGTGCTCACACAGAACCATCACGCCTGGAGGTCTGCTTCCACTCCAGACGACCAGGACATGTTAGAACCAAAGCTGGTGTCACCTGGAATCCACCTCTGCAGCAATCTGAAGATCCGATTGATAAGACACCATCTTTATATTAGTCGTTACTTCCTCCCACATTAACTTTGTATCCAAACTTGTTTTCATCACAGTTCAAAACTTTATTTCACATTTCTGCTTCGTTAAGCGAACATTATTTACAGAGCGGAGCAACACGGGAGCAATGTCCGGATGTTACAGCACAAAGGTGGACGTCCTCCATCCTGCAGGACAGAGCTCCTTAGAATGTCTACATAACACACTGGACTTGTTTTCCTCGAGACCTTCTACCTCTCATCCAACAGGGTTCTTCTAACTCTGATCCAGTCTCTGGAGTCCAAAGAACTCCTGCAATTCTGTTCTGCTAACTGTGGAATGAAAAGGACTTTTGGTGAGGTGGTTCTGATGAAAGGCTCTTTAGTTTGGGTCTGTAGTCGACACACCTGAACGTTCACATCTGCAACTCAACTACAGATCTGTGTGGGTCCAGTTCCAACACTTCTGAGAGCTGTGATTGGGCTGCATGGTGACCAGAACTGAACTGTGGTGGATCAGAAACATCTGTTTGATTTTAATACTTAAAATCCAAAATGAGAAGTATTTGGCAGGTCAATAGATCATGACCACCAGCCTAAACGGTCACCAGTATGGAGACTTGCAGCTGAATCACAAACCAGCAGTATAGACCAGCGGTCACCAAAGCTGCTGAGGTTCTGGAGCTGAGTGGGACCTGCTGCCAACAGCTTAAACATGCAGAAACATGGTAGATTTCTACTTTCTGGTTTAAAATCAGCTTTTATTTTAGATTACAGAGCAGCTGGAGGAGAACTGGATCCAAACGTCTACCACATCTTCATTTAGTCCAACATCTGGGCAGAAACTGGACCTTTATGACCTCAGACTCATCTGAAGCTCCCAGAAGAAAAAACAAAAAAATGATAATAATAAGTGCAGTTTGGAACATGTCAGTGTCACTGAAGCCCTCCAGACTCCCTCAGATCCCCCAAGACTCAAGAAGCGGTTCTGTGTGGCTTTTTAGTGTGAGTGTGCCCCCTCAGAGTTTGGGGGGCCCGTGGCCCCCCCGTCGGGCCTCTGTCCATGACCTCTTCTGCCATGACCCAGGATGCAGTTGGCGCTCCCACAGCCCTCGTCTTCATCGTCTCCTTCGCTCTCAGACGAGGACTCTCCAAACTGTTTGGGCTTCTCATAAATACAGCAGCCTGGAAATCAACACACAGGTCCAGGATCAGAACAGAACCAGAACATCTGGATTCAGAGGTTCCACAAAACCAGCTCTAGTTACAACATCAAACCAAAGTAAATCTAAAACCAATTCATGACTCAGATGAAGAGCGGCCTGCAAACCAGACTGGGCCCATTCAAATATCATGAACCTGCACAGGGATGATGACATCATCGGAACAGAGCAAGGCTGTAACTGGAGGTCCAGCAGGTCAGTACCAGGTCCTGGATCTCCACTGGGGTTGTCACCACCACCAGGTGTATCTGCAGATGGTCGGGGGTTGGACAGGTGACGTCAACAGTACCAGAGTTGTGTCTCAGGAGGGGTAAGGTGGCGCTGTCCCATCTTAACCCTGCCATCCTCCATGTCTGATGACCTTTACTCATGGTTTGACCGTCCTCCATAAACTACCCGGCAACAGCGTCACTCTTCTCATGTCCTCTGGTACCAGCTCCAGATGTTCCAGCATGTAGACCAGACACGCCCAAACTGCACCATTTTATTAGGTGTTCTGACTTCCCGAGTGGAGATTTTGTGCCAATATTTGTGTTTTTCTATAAATAAAAAGATTTTTATGATGATGGCAACACCTTTCAAGCACATTCAGAGATGTCTGACATGTTTAGGTTTGGATTAGTTTGGTAGTTGAAGGAGAAAAACTGGGCAGAACAACGGATCCAGTTCAGACAGAAGCAGCTGCTAGTACCAGCAGAACAACACACTAGGTTAGCTGCTTCTGCCTAGGTCACTGTAAAAATATCTCGGGGAGCAACAGAGCGATCTGTTGTGGTGAAAAGGAGCTAAGCCAGAAAGCAAAGCTCTGAACTCACTGCGGTCGTGAGCTGTCGGTTATGACAGAAAGACCAAGACCATACAAGCTGTTCAAATGACTTTCCTTCTCAGTTTAACTGCAGCTGGCATTATCCTGATACACAATAACATCAATGCAATGCTCAGTATGTGTCCCTTACAGCATGCTGCATAGTTCTGGAACCCAAAGCTTCATTTTTATTAGTGATTTTTTTTGTGCTCAAAGGTTACAATAATATTACTTTTTCTTCTAATTATTCTCTTAAGTGTTGGTGCTGCTGTAACAAGTGAATTTTCCCACTGTGGGATCAATAAAGTCTCTTCTATTCTTTGCAGAATAGCCGGGCTCAGCCTGTGAGAGAGGGTTAAGTAACCGCTGCTTCTCCACACGGAGAAGAACCAGCTAACCTGCTTCAGATATTTGTCAGGCTGCCGCTTGGACATCTCCCAAGGGAGATGTTTTGGGAGCGTTCTGCCTGCAGGAGGCCCCTCAGTCGACACAGGACATGCTGGAGGGATTATATCTCCAGGCTAGCCATGGCGTTGTTCCCACTGGTGGAGGATGCTGGTGTGAGGACAATCAGGGCTTTTCTGCTTGGGCTGCAACCCAGATCCAAAGAAGAAGATGAAACACCAACAAACTAAACCAAGACTCAAGTGCTGTGGGCGATTAACCAGACACCTTAAGATGTCTCAGCCATTTCTGATTTCATTGTTTAAGTTCTGAACCTGGGGCTGCACAGTGGTGCAGTGGTTAGCGCTGTTGCCTTGCAGCAAGAAGGTCCTGGGTTCACATCCCAGCCTGGGGTTTCTCTGCAAGGAGTTTGCATGTTCTCCCTGTGCACACGTGTGTTCTCTACAGGCACTCCAACTCCCTCCCACAATCCATAACCATGACTGTCAGGTTGGTTGACCCCATCTGCTTGCCCAGAGACAGCTGGAGATAGGCACCAGGCACCAGCCACCCCCACCCCCCACCCTGCATGGAAATAACGAAAATGGAAGTTCTCAACCTGAGAAAGCACCTTGACCTTTGACCCAGCGATCCTGACCACCCGACGATGGTCCTCTATTTTCTGAGAAGATATGTGAACTCACACTTTGAGGACCGTCTCCCCAGGTGCTCATTATCAACAGTGTCACTGGACCACTCCACCTTCTTCTCAGTCTTCCTCTTCCTCAGCTTGATGGTTAGGCTTCGTCCTTCCTGAGAAACATCAGATGTCAACAGGAGCAGTACTGAGTGTTTATAAAAGAAACCATGACATGGCATCACAAATGCTACAAGCACACTCCACCAACAGAACCATGACAGACCATGTATAAGACATTCATTATCACCACCCTACCTACCACTGAGCGTCAACAACACGGCTTCCTGTAGCTAACAGCAACCGGTGATGCTACCGAAAAAAGGGTCGCCAGACAACGCAATCGCATTTTAATCTACAAGATCTAGCCTACTGATGGAGTCTCGCTGAAAAACGTCGGATAGCAGAGTCTAAAGTTGTTTTATGTTGTATTTGTTCACCGTCGGTGATAAATGATCCGAGCCTAGTCTCGGTTTTGAAGAACAATTCATCTCTGAAACCCAAATGGTCCTTGTCACGAGTTCTGTTAACGCCCACAATATTGCAACAACCCATACAAACAGCTAAGACATGACAGGCTGATTATTCAGGTTAAATCAAAAATCAACACATCACATCCAATTACGACAGCAGATGAAACATTGGTTGTTAGCGACGCGGCCTCGGTAGGTCCTGAACACCGGACTGGTTTAACCCTAAAATCAATTAAAGTGTTTACCGACCAGTTCGATAGCGTATACCTGTTGGGGTGGCGGCGGAGTGCCAGTCTGGACAGTCTCCGTTATGGTTTCACTCGACGTCCCGGGGACCTCCGCCATCCCTGGAGCTGCTAGGCTAATGCTACCTTTACCTTGAAATCAGACGCAGAACCAGTGGAGTCGGGGGTCTGTGACGCGTCAACACGAATCTGTGGAAGCGTCAGTAACCGACCCTAAATCGTTAATTCACAAGCTTTGTTGAAAAAGCAAACAAATATTGTCCTTAAAATTATTAGTTGCAATAAATAGGAACTGGTCGCAAATTGTGAATCACGCTAACGCGACTCTAAACGGAAGTTAATGGTTTTCAAAATCCTAAAAGTACAAGGCAAGTCCGAGGTAGAGAGCTCATTTCTAGACTCATTAATTTAACTGCAGATGTGTTTTAAACTTTTTTTGCAATATCTATTGTACAAGGCTGTGGTGGATTATCTGATCTTAAAACAGAACAAGACATTTACTTTATATTTCAGTTCTGTGTGTGTTTGAGTTCAACTTGACAGCGGAAATGTTTGCGGGGAACCTATTTTGTGACGGACAAGCGTTTGTTTCCAATGTCCGTGAGGTCGGTAAACAGAACAAACGCTTGAGATTATAAACAGACTTACAATGGCACCAGCTCAAAAGTATATATAACGGAGAGGTGTTTATATAGCATTAAGTCGTAAGAACCTGAATACCCCTAAAGTTATTTAATTTAGTTAGGCGTAACAGATATGAATGGACTGTGCACTTTACCATTTTAGACATATCTAAAAACAACAAAAAATATATTTTAGCTCTATATTTTATGTATATATATTGTAGTGTTTAACTCAGGATGTGGAGGGCAGCTCGGAGGCTTTCAGGGACCAGAACAGCCAGACGCTGTTCCAACAACTCCTCCGTATTTTCGACCACCGTCTCCTCTCAGCCGAACCTCCCAGAAACAAAGCCCTCTGCCCGGCTTCAGGAGGAGAAGCGGAGGCGCAAACGGGACCGGGAGAAGCTCGTCCTGTCCAGCCCGCACACAGTAAGTCCGGTCAGACCTGCTAATAAAACCTGACGAGCTTACAGTAGTCAGAAAAGTATGTGTGTGAGGCTTAAGAAATTTAAAAAATGCAAGATGAGATATAAGAAAAAAGGTAGAAATACAAATATATACATAGAAATATGACTTTAATGAATGCAACAGTTAGGTTATTATAGTAATAGTGGATTTATTGCACTGACGACTGTTCAAGAGATTTTTTTGGTTCATTTGCTGTTTGGGGAAGATGCTGCCTCTCAGTCTGCAGGCTCTTGCTTTTGAGACTTTATAGTGCCTACTGGATGGCAGCAGTTCAAATGGATGTTGGCCGGGGTGGGAGTGGTCATGGATGATGTCATGGGCCCTGCTGATGCAGTGTGAGGTGGTGAGATCTTCCAGGGAGTGATGATGACGGCTGGTGAGCTGCTCTGCAGATTTGATGATCCTCTGCAGAGCCCCTTTATCTACAGCAGCAGAGAACCCAACAATACTTGAATACTGACTATGTGTATATACATGTACCTTTTCTTCAGATTATTCTGTATTATGTGTTGGAGCATGCTCTCCATGGTTGTCAGGTGGAAGACCACCAGCGCCTTACTCTGCAGGTTATTCCTCCTGAGTCAGTGATGTGTTCTCTTCACAAGTTGGGTTATGTCTGTTGACCAGATGAGGTCCTTGGGGTCATGGATGCTCAGGAATTTAAAGGACTGCACTTGCTCTACTTCTTTGTTGTTATTGAAGAGGGGGATGGGTCTGTGTTGTGTTATATCTAGTCTAGAGTTATTTATTTTGAGGTTTAAAGTGACCGGTTGTTTGCAGAGCATCAGGATTATCATTTCTGAATCTCATCTCGGGCTGCAGACTCGTCTTCCCTTGAGATGAGTCCAATGATGTTCATGTGGTTCACAAATTTAATGATTGTGTTTGACGACTGAGCCGGTGTGAGATGAGGTGGGGATGCAACATTGGGCAATTCTTTTTGACTAATAAACCTCAAACGTTAGGCTGGACCTGTTATGACACAGTACTTGGATTTTTCAGCATCTTTTTAAAATGACACGCCCACTCTTGTCTAACTTGATTTTCAGCCAAAAATGCAGAACCTCGTTGAGATTACTCCTCCTACATTATAAGAGGTCCTTGTAAAACTTGGTATAATAATGCAAACAACAAAAAGTTGTAGAAATATTGGAATTTTTTGAAAATTAGGCAACCAGTGCAACACAAAATACCTTAGTGCTAGCTAGCACTTGAGTTGTTTGACTCCATCTCTTTTATATTTTTGAATGAGATGTTGTTTATGTTTGTAGAATTCTTTTTAGTTTTGGTGACGAGGGCACCAAAGGGTCCAAAAGTTTGTTTCTGCACAAGGGATAAGTGGATTAACACAAAACCTGCTACTGATGTTTATAACCACAACTGGAAGCCATATTCTGAATATAATTAAAAACGTAGGTGTGACTAGTAGACTTAATGACATTTGACCTTTGAACTCATGAAACAAAAAGATTCTATCCAGAAAATCACAGACCATGTACATAACTATCCACTGGGGGTCAGTGTTATACCCAACAAAGCTTTCTTTGATTTACTGCTGGTGTAGAAGCTTTTATTTATTTTTTTTGTCCTGCATGTTTTTTTCAATCATGCTAATTCAGATGAGTTTTGAAAAAAAAAATGATAATAACTATGCCGGTGAAGGTTTTTAGTCATCCAGGTCATGGTAATCCAAAGGGTTCAAATGAAGCAATAAGCAAAGAAAAGGCCAACAGGCGCAAAGGCACCTCATCCCGTACGTGGCAGGAGTCTCAGAGAAACTTAGAAGAATCTTCTCCAAACACAACATCCCGTTAAACTTTAAACCCAACAGCACCCTCAGACAGAACCTGGTCCATCCAAAAGACAAAACACCCAAAACAGAAGCTCAGTGGCGTCGTTTGTGCAGTCCAGTGTAGCGAGGACTGTCCAGATCTTTACACTGGGGGAACTTAACAACAATTACACAAGCGCATGGCACAACACAGGAGAGCCACCTCTTCAGGTCAAGACTCTGCAGTCCACCTCCACCTGAAGGACAAGGGACACACGTTTGAAGATGACAACGTACACACAGAGAAGATAGATGGTTTGAGAGAGGAGTAAAAGAAGCTATCTATGTCAAATGTGAAAAACCTACTTTAAAAAGGGGAGGGGCTTACATTTCTCCTTTCCAGCACCTATAACGCAGCTTTGAATCTCATTCCTAAGCAGTTTCAGTCGAGGTCACACCTTCCTGCCTCTAATCAACACAACGACTCCCTCTCAACAGAGGCTAGTAACTCATCAGGGGATGGAGATGCGGGGTACCCGGAGTAGTTTCAGCTCGTTAAACAAAAACAGACAGCTACAGCTTATAAACTCGACTCTCTCGTATTCCAGTTAGAACTGACAAAGCTCCTCGGATAAAAAGCAAAACGTCTTCAAGAAACCAGAGAAGTCCAGTTGCCTTCATTTGAACCCTTTAGAATAATAAATAATAAAGTGTAGTAATATGCAAACCTACCATTTTAAACTCCTCCTACAGCTCAAACCCAATCAAAATGAAACTTTGCCTGGCAAGTAAGAGGCAGCGGCTGACCAAACAACGTTATGGTTTTCAAAAATCATTTTATTTTAGGAATTATTCACAATCAAAATATTTTAAGTACAAAATGTACTTAAAGAGCAAGTCAACCCCTACCAGAGTCTAACTCCACTCCCACTTCATGTTTGAAAAATGCAACACATGCTGTTGCCTGGCAGACCGAGAGGGCGGAGCCGCTAACAAATGCACACACACACACACACAGGCTCACGACAGCATTGTGACATCATAATGTACCAGTTTACATCATAGCATACTTCTTAGCCAATAGCGGTGGCAGATTTAAATTAGAATACAGTGCAGAGTTTTTACCTGACAACGGCACAACACTGCCAGTTTTAGGCAGAATATTTAAATTTTAACTAAGATGCACTGAAGTGCCAAATTATTGACGACACGTGTCTGCAGCACGATTGGACACTCGTTTATTTAGTTTATCAGCAAAAAAAAAGTTTATTTGGGGGTGACTTGCTCTTTAATGATATTTTCATACCATTGGTGCCTATAGGGTCGATTCAAGTGTCCATTTTCAGCGTGATCCAACAAAAGGAGGCACTGAGATGTTGATCACTGGTCTGTTTTAATGTCAAACCTCATTTTTTTTTACTGCAGAAGCAAATGGTCCCATTGGTCTGTACTTTCTGGGCAACTATCTTTTTACAAATGTCATAATCTATAAACTATGACTACAAGCTACGTCTCATAGTGAAACAGTGGCCGTAGTTCAAATGATTTATTTTTTCAGAACGCTGAAGATGACAAAGTAAACTGGAGTGAAAAACCGAAGATTGTTTATAATGCACACACACCTCCTGGGACAAAGAAAGGTGAGTGGGTTATTCTGGTCCTGATGGACCTCTCCCACCCAGTACAGCTCCTCTGTGGACCTGGTGTTTCTATTTGCTTGTCTGCAGATACCAGTCTGCCGTTCCCATCCTCCTACAGTCCAGACTATGTGGAGTCCAGTTGGTATCAGTGGTGGGAAAAAGAGAAATTCTTCAGTCCTGAACAACATGTAAGGATTTTATCACACAAACATATCAGCAATGTTCTTATTCTTTCTATTAGCTAGTCACCTTCACAGAATAAGCATCACTTTAGTTTGACAGAATCTCGTATTTAGTAACATTTTATAAACAGACGTGGACGAAATTGTTGGTACCCTTGGTCAATGAAAGGAAAACCCACAATGGTAACAGAAATAACTTGAATCTGACAAAAATAATAATAAATAGAAATTCTAAGGAATTTATCCAATGAAAGTTATATTAAGTTATATTAAAAAAAACCTCATGGAACAGTTTTAAAATAACAGAAAATGAATATCGGTATACAAACCTTTCAAGTAGTTGTTATATTATGTTTTTTTAAGCAATGCAACACTAAAATTCTCTTAAAATTAATAAAACTGAAGATATTTTAAATAAAATACAAGCTATATGTGATGAAAACACTAAATTCTAAATAGTATGAACTGAAGTAAAAAAAATTGTTAAAACATAAGTAACATTTGTTCCTGCGTTCCTGATTCACTGAATAACTTCTTTGTTTGCTTTTGTTCATAGAAGTTAAGTTTTGCTTCACTGGTGAATAACTGCAGGTAAAATGATGCTTTGCTGCATTTTTTTGTTGACAGTTTTAAAATAAGGTTGGAGGTTTATCCTTTTTCTCTGCCTCTGGATCAGCTGATGCGCGGGTCTCATGGCTGTGCGACATGGAGTGAGCGAGCGACAGAGATAGTGTTTTATTACTAAAGGGAGCGATCAACTGAAACAGTTGAGGGAAATTTGTTGAAACAAAATCACAGAAAATGTCCAGAAAGTTTGGAAGCCTGTGTGTTAATCACGTGTTCATAAACGAACGGCATTCAATTTGCGTTAACAAGCTTTTAACGCAGATAGGACTTTCCTGTCGACCCATATATTTTACTGAGGATGCTTTTTGGCAAACCATGAGACCCAAACCAGGTCTGTTTAACCACGCCGTCTTCTTTAGAAGCACTTCTTCATCTACGTGCTCCAGTTGCTGCTTTCAAAGTGTACACGGGGATCCATGCTGCAACGCCTACAATGAATACTGAGTGTATTTCCAGTAGAACAGACTTGAACACATTTGCCAAATGATTTGTGCAATAATCAGATTTTTATTTTCCATCCATCCATCCACTTTCAGCCGCTTATCCAGAGTCGGTTCGTGGGGGCAGCAGCCTAAGCTGAGAGGCCCAGTCTTCCCTCTCCCCAGCTACTTGGGCCAGCTCCTCCGGGGGAATCCCAAGGCGTTCCCTGGCCAGCCGAGAGACATAGTCCCTCCAGCGTGTCCTGGGTCTTCCCTTGGGTCTCCTCCCAGTTTGACTTGCCCAGAAAACCTCACCAGGGAGGCGTCCAGGAGGCATCCTAACCAGATGCCTGAGCCACCTCAACTGACTCCTCTTGATGTGGAGGAACAGCGGGTCTACATTGAGCCCCTCCCGGATGACTGAGCTTTTCACCCTATCTCTAAGGGAGAGCCCAGACACCCTGTGGAGAAAACTAATTTTGGCTGCTTATATTTGTGATCTCGTTCTTTCAGTCACTACCCAAAGCTCATGACCATAGGTGAGGGTAGGAACGTAGATCAACCAGTATATCGAGAGCTTTGCCCTCTGGCTCAGCTCTCTTTTCACCACGACAGACCGGTACAACGCCCACATCACTGCAGATGCAGCACCAATCCGCCTATCGATCTCACGCTTTATTTTCCCCCTCTCGTGAACAGAGCCTTGACATACTTCCTCCACTTGAGGCAGGACGTCGTCCCTGACCTGAAGGATGCACCTTTTCCGATTCAAGACCATGATCTCTGATTTAGAGGAGCCGATTCTCATCCCAGCTGCTTCACACTCGGCTGCGAACCGCTCCAGCGAAAGCTGGAAATCATGTTCTGATGAAGCCAACAGGACCACATCATCTGCAAAAAGCTAAGACAAGGAAGAAAGTAAGGATCGACAAAGTCGATCATCAAGCTTTGTATCCTGATGCCAAGAGCACATATGGACAACTTTAAGCTTGAACATGGTGTTCGTTATGGACAAGGCATGACGTACGCAGAAGTCCAGTAACAAAACACTTCTCAGATTCAGATTAGGGGGGTCCATACCTCCCAACTACACCTCTCCAGGTCTCACTGTCGTTGCCCACATGAGCATTAAAGTCCCCAAGCAGAATCAGGGAGTCACCAGAAGGAGCGTTCTCCAGCATCCCCTCCAAGAACTCCAAAAAGGATGAGTAGTCTGAGCTGCAGTTTGGTGCATAAACACAAACCATTGAGGACCTGTCCCCCCACACGTAGGTAGAGGGAGGCTACCCTCTCATTCACTCGGTCAAACCCATCGACATAATATACGTGGACAATTCCTTTCCACAGGCTCCAATATCACGTTTTTGATCCCAAATGGGAGGTGGCCACCACCGCCATTTTGACCGTGTCACAGGTTCCGTCAAGCCCAGACAATTCCATAAAAGGGAAGAGAGGAGGAGCTGAGGGTGGGGCTGTAAGGCTGGGATCAACTGACGACACCCGGTCGAACTAGCTACAAGCTAACCTGAAGCTAACCCAAAGCTAATGCAGAGGTGGGAGCTAAGCTAACGGAGGTAGCAACCTAGCTACAACCGGAGTTACCTGTGCACAACACCCGAGCTTCTGAGTCAGAGATACGCCGGGCTGACCGCTGGGTAAAACCGGGTGGAACACAGAGGTCTCCGAGACCTCCAAAAGCCGGCAGCCTGCGCAGCAAACAAGCGCCGCTGCGCAGAGCTGCCGCTGGGGAGAACCGGGTGGAAAGGTTTCCATCCCAGAGCTCCACAAGCCGTCAGCCCGCCGCAGCACACAGAAGCCACGATCAGACAGAGATGGACCGGGCTGCGGGGAGAAACAGCCGGCATTCCGGGTGGAAAACATCGGTCTCCCGAGAGCTCCACAAGCCGATAGTGGGAACCCAGCTCCACCAACATGTTATATTTCAACCCATTTTCTAAAGTGCAGCATTATGTTAAATGCACTGGGTTTTACCCTATTACATTTAAATTTCATGGTTAAACAGTACATGTTAAAATCTAAGCTCAGCTCGGCAGTGACCTAAAATACATAAATATAATTTTACTTACAGTAAAAATTGAAGTGGAGACTCCTTGGACGCTCTATTATTGCAATTAATGCCACAGCAAGTCATTTTGTCCAACAATTGCACAAAAAATATCCAAACAAGAATACACAAACACAGAGACTCAAAATCCTGGAGCAGTTTCCAGGCCAGACCGAGGCTCTGCTGAGGCCTTTCCACGGAGCTAGCTCTGTGGTCACGTGGGTCTGATGCTTATTAATTATACAGAATTTTAGGCTTTTAATACACTTAAACAGAAGAGTGAGAAAAAAATTCACCCCCCTCAGAGTTGTCATGAGTGTAAACTAGATCATTTAAACCAAAAACATGTTTTGGTACCAGGCTGTAAACATGTTTATTTCTGCTGTGAAATTGGTATTTTTAACATGGGAGTCAATGAGGATTTGCTCGCTTCTGACACCAGCCCCCAGTGGATGAGGGTGGAACTGCAATTTTTCTTACTTCTGGGTTGGCCTCAATTTTAAAGCTGCATTGTGGGGGCTTGGTCAAACCCCAAAGTACACGCACCAAGTTGGGGGGCAACAAGTATGCCCAGCCCTTCTCGGTACCTCTCAGTGGGAGCAAATTCAGAATAATAGAAAGTCCAACCTCCCTTCTGGAAACTGGTTCTGGAGCCAGAACCACACATTGAGGTGAGTCCAACTATATCTAGCTGGAACCTCTCAACCTCACACACCGACCCCGGCTCTTTCCCCACCGGAGAGGTGACATTCCACATGTCGAGAGCTATTCTTTGTAGCCGAGGATCAGATGGTCCCTGCCTTTGGCTACCACCTGACATACAATGCAACTGACCCCTTTGACCCTACAAGTGGTGAGCTCATGGAAAGGGGGAACCCATGTCTCCTCTTCAGGCTGTGGCTGGCCAGGCTCCATGGGTAAAAGCCCAGCCACCAGGCAGCTTAAGTACCTCTTTCTGCTGTTGACTCAAAGAAATGCCCCAGCCTATATAGTCCAGAGTTGACGTCAAAGCCATTTCAAATGAGCCGTTGCCATCTTAGTTTCACTCATTCGCTGTAACCCACCACCCACCAAACCGATAGTGCTGTGATTGGCCAGCCACCAGACTGGTCGGGGCTGCAGAGGCTCTAATGGAGCATGGCTAGACCAACATGAGGAGTAAAATCATTTTGCTTCTGCTGCTGTCTGTCTAGATTTCTAGGCTAGACTACTCTGGCATTTAGTTGATCAAAGTGATAAATCAAAGTTCTGGTGGTACTGTACCAGATTTGCTTTTGTGACGTGGAGCCCTCTGAACACTTCATCTAACATTTAACTGATGATGATAAAACCCTCTGCGGTTTAATGGTTCAGTTATTTGTTTCAGGAACAGTTGGCCCATGGCGAGGAGCGGACCTTCTCTCTCTGTATCCCACCTCCAAACGTGACAGGAAAGCTGCACCTGGGCCACGCTCTGACTGTGGCTGTACAGGATGCTCTGGTTCGATGGTACGGGCCACCTACATGTCTGCTGTAGCTCTGGGTAACACTTTAAACACTGATGGAATGTTCTCCATGGAACAGGAGGAGAATGCAGGGCTACAGGGTTCTGTGGGTTCCTGGATGTGACCACGCAGGTATCGCAACTCAGGTAGAACAACTTGTGTCCTTCACATATCTCATGTCTTCCTGTGGGATGAAGTGTAAAGGAATTACTCACACTCACACCCAGATGGGAGATTTGGTCACTCTTGAAGTTTAGCTGGTCTTGCAAGAGCTGAGTCCTCATTCTTGGATGTGGTTCTGTTTATAAAGTTATGACCTTCAGCATCTGATCTGACCTGTGGTGGTGACAATGGAGATGAACTGAATGGCAAAGCCAGGGATTTACTGGTCCAGTTCATGAGTCAAAATAGTCATGATTATCATTTTTGCCACAACTGAGCAGCTCTATGTGCTCTACTGATCTGGTCTTACATTTGCAGACTGTTGTGGAGAAGAAACTTTTACGTGAAAAAGGGAAACGCAGACAAGACTTCACCAGAGAAGAGTTCTTACAGGAAGTGTGGAAGTGGAAGAATGAGTGAGTGTTCTCCTTCACATTCTTTATTTCAGAGGTTCTTCCCTGCTGACTCAACTTCTCCTTTTCCAGAAAAGGAGATGAGATCTATCAGCAGCTGAGGATGCTGGGTTCCTCTCTGGACTGGAGCAGAGCATGTTTCACTATGGATCCAGTAAGCCCCAGTCTGGGTTTGATCAGACAGACCACATGAAACTATGGAATATCTTCTCCTGGAGTGACCCAATTGAAAGCTCTCGCTTGTAAAATGTATTAAAGTTGTTGTTTTTTCTTTCTTCTCCAGGGTTTCAGCAGAGCTGTGACGGCAGCTTTTGTCAGACTCTGTGATTCAGGTCTGGTTTATCGATCAGAAGCTCTAGTCAACTGGAGCTGTGCTCTTCAGTCCACCATCTCTGATATAGAGGTGAGAAACTTCTACACACACACACACACACACACACGCACGCACGCACACACACACACACACACACAAACAAACACACACGCCTGTCTCTCTATCTTAGTGAGGACCCTCCATTGACTTCCATTCATATTGGTGACTCCACTATGCCTAACCCGTTCTCTAACCATAACCAATCTGTCCCTAACCTTAACTAACACTTCATTCACACCATGCCTCTAAAACCAACTGGTAGACATTTTTAAAAAGCGAGGACCACAAAATGTCCTCGCTTTGAAAAATGACCTTTTCAAAGCGAGACATGCAGAGACATGAAAAGTCAGTACAGTACATATTTTAGTTTATTGCTGTACTGTTTTCATTTCCTTTCATTGTCAGATGTTTTATTTATCAGATAATGAAAGCTGCAGGATAGATCAAATTTAAATAACACAGATTTATCTTTTTTTCTCTTCCCTTCCTGCCATCTACTTTATAATTTATGAAAAACCCTTAATTCAAAATCTCAGACAATTAGAATATTGTCAAAGGGTTCAATATTCTAGACTCAAAAGCCCTTTTTACTAGACACTCCCTGGCGGCAAATCGGCGTACTTTCACCGCAACGGTGAGTCTTATAAACGCGCCATGCCGGCATGGCTTTGTGCAGATTTTGCAGTATTCGTTCTGCCTCCCTTGGTAGTAATATTGAGGTAATCGTCTGCCTAATAAACGGCGATTACGTCTCGGCACAACAGAGGGAGGTGTCATGATGACGTAGGGAGTTGATGCCAAGCTCGGGCCGGCAACTTAATTGAAAATGAAAGTAAATATGGGCCTTAAGTTTTGCTTCTTGAACAAAATCAGCTGAGACGGCAAACTGGAGCGCTGCGGCGCTCCAGGAGCCTCTCTCCGTTAAAGCTAGAGGTCAGATCACCAGAGACTGCATGGGAACTGTGGGGGAGACCTTTAAGAGCAGCTTTCTAAAAATACGTAACTAGCGCTGCTTCAATTGCAATAAAAAGCAAGTTATGTCCAAGATAAACAGAAGTCCCCGGCAGCGCAGGGACTGGCCCTATCCTCCCTTTTTGCCCCCATCGCCTAATCTTTTATAAAATGGACGTGATTGCGCCATAACTCCTGATGCCACCACCGAGTTGAGGCAAATTGACGGCATTGTTTTGTAAAAATGGCTAAAGTGTCACACTCTAATCAGCTAATGAATGAATGATCCAAACACCTGCAAAGGGTTCCTGAGCCTTTAGATCGGGGGTGTCAGACTCCAGTCCTCGAGGGCCGGTATCCTGCATCTTTTTTTATCGTTTCCCTGTTTCAGCACAGTTGATTCACCTGTGCAGCAGCTCGGCCGGCTCTCCAGAAGCCTGTTAATCACCTGCTGATTGAAATCAGGTGTGTTGAAGCAGGGAAAACACTAAAACATGTAGGATAGTGGCCCTCGAGGACCATAGTTTGACACATGTGCTTTAGATGGTCTCTCAGTCTAAGTTGCATTACTGACATACATTTTTCCAGTTTTACCTGATTGTCTCTCTTCTGGACGTGTTCAAACCATCTACGTCTGTCCTCGCTGCCTTCATCTCCTAACTTCTAACATGAGCTTCGCCTCTGATGGGGTCGTTTCTGATCCTGTCCATCATTGTCCCCCCAAAGAGAACCTCTAGTTGTGCCTCCTGTATTGTCCTCATGGACACCGTCTATGAGCCAGGCAACATGGCCGCTCTCACTACCGTTTTCTACATCTTTTCTTTCATTCTTGCAGTTAAAAAAATTCTGACAGAGACTAATTGTTATCACATCACGATGACCAACAAGATACGCTTCAAGGCATGTTCTGAACCTGTCTGTGTGTTTTGGATCTGGAATTTGTCCTCAGGTGGACTCCGTGGAAGTTCCCGGGCCGACCGCGCTGTCTGTTCCTGGTTATGAGAATAAGGTGGAGTTTGGATCAATGCTGACCTTTGCGTACCCCGTAGAAGACCACAGTGAGTGTTTGGTTACTGTCTGATGATTCTGACATTGTTTGCATGTTGAACTGATGTTTCCAATGTTCCAGACAGTGAGGTGGGCGTTTCCACCACTCGTCCTGAGACCATGCTTGGTGATGTGGCTGTAGCTGTTCACCCGGATGATCCTCGATACCAGGTCAGGACTTTCTTCCTTTACTTTCATTTTTAATGAGTGACAAAGTCCTGGAGAAGGGGGGAGTTTAGTCACACGTTCTGAAAACAAATGTCTCCTCACAGCTTCTCTTATTTACGTAGATAATGTGGTCCTAAACCACATCAGTGGTTACTGATTTACTGCACACACTAAAGGTGTCAGGTTGGAAACAGACCTCCAGTTAGTCAAACGTTTTTCTTTAGGAAGGTAAACTACAACGGAGTTATTTGGGACGGATTTGGGAACAAGCTCGCGCACCTTTAGAGTAAACGTTGCGCCTCTAAAGTTGATTTCCACCTGTGTGTGTCACACGTTACGTGATCATGAAGTAGACAATCCATGAACCAGGAAGATCGGTTTGGGACGCCGCTGTGCCTAAGCTGAGGCTAAAACCTGAAAAGAGTCTGCAGCTCACATTTCGACAACGGATTGTGAGAAAAAGCTAGAAAGAAGCGGATTCTTCCTGATGTAAAAAGTGAGCCTACTCTTTTCTTTTTTGCTAGTTTTGGTGTGTACATGGTCATAGAGCACAATATTCTGTGACTCTTCAAAAAACAGTAAAAATGCTCAAAAACGCTGTAAGTCAGGGGCTTTTTGTTCAGATAAAAACATCAAACTTACTTATATAACCACAGTTACATAGAGATGCATTAAGTTGGACAAATCATAATTTTAACCATAATAGAAAAGAAGTACTTTTACATTTTAAAATAAAGGGTAAATGGGGTGAGTTGGCTGTTCCACAACATAAATTAAAATCTGCAGCGGGACTTGCTTTGTCAGCCTTGGCTCCAGTTCTGTGGAAGGAACTCCTCCTGGCTCCAATGTGTTTGTGTCAGCTGAAAGCCAGTTTTTGATTTCTAGCCTTCTTGCTCAGCGGTTATCTTTTTATTTGCTTTTAAAGCCATACTATGCAAATTTTTAATATTTTAAAATAATTTTCTGGAGCCAGTTTGTGCTAAATGATCCTTTACAGCGGGGGGGGGGGGGGGGGGGGGGGGCAATCCTGGTCCTCGAGGGCCACTATCCCACATGTTTTACTGTTTTCCCTTTTTCAACACACCTGATTTCAGTCAGCAGGAGATTAGCTGGCTTCTGCAGCTTGATGAGCTGCTGAATCAACTGTGTTGGAACTGGGAAATAACAAAAAGATGGAGGATACCGGCCCTCGAGGACTGGAGTTGCCCACCCTTGCTACTGCCCCCTGTGGTCAGAATACCACACTTGCAACCTCAGAGTCTGCTTCCAGCACGTTTCCTGCATGTTTCAGATCTTGAACACAGCTGATTTGTTTGATGTAGTGATGAATCCCTCCTGTAGACACTAATGAAAGCTGAGGAGACATTTCAGCTGTTAGATTAAGGTGTTAAAAAGATGAACAAACAGCAAAATACATTTTGTTTTCAGTTTAATCACTTATAGCTCATAATTCAATTCAATTCAATTAAAAAAAACTTTATTAATCCCAGAGGGAAATTGATTGCTGTAGTAGTTCAGGATAATAATAATAATCAAGTCATCAAAGAGTTATTGTATATTACAATGGCTGTTGGCAGTATGTCAAGTATGTCGAGGGAAACTAGGGGGTGCTAAAAGCAAGCAAAACTGCCAAGTGTCCCTTTAACGATCTTTTATCATTCTCGCTTTATTGGTTCTAGATTTTAACTTGTTCTAAGTGTTGTGCTTTGATGCCTTCATTATGTACAGTGCTTTGGTTGTCCATGTGGTTGTGTTAAAAGCCCTTTATAAAGCTGATGATGGTGGTGATGGAGTAAAGCTAGCAGAAGGAAGACGAGTGGTCATAATGTCCTCCAGCTGTCTAAGCCTAATAGCAGCATAACTAAAGGGATGAGCCAGAATAACCTAAACTAACCCTAACTGGAATTAAAGTCTGAAGCTTATAACGGCATAACTAAAGGGGTGAGCTAGTATGAGTGTTATTTTTGTGGTCTACGTAGTGAAATGAAGCGTTGTTCTGATTGGTAGATGATGTTTGTTTATTATTTTTATCTCATCTTTGTTTTTTTTTTCTCATCTCAGGCTCTTCATGGTAAACACTGCAGGCATCCTTTCACCAACAGACTCCTCCCCATCATCACTGACCCTGTGGTGGACATGAAACTGGGAACAGGTGACTAAAACTATTCTATTGGGCCAATGCTGAGGACCAGTGTACCCATCAGCCCTCCTGATGAGCAGCTCTTGTTCCCACTGGAGATGTTTACGTTTCACCTGCCTGTGTTTACAGGAGCAGTGAAGGTGACTCCTGCTCACGATCACACAGACTTCCTTCTGTCTCTGAGACACTCTCTGCCTCGCATATCTGTGATTGGAGAAGATGGGACAATGATGCCATCCTGTGGACAGTGGCTGGAGGTACTCGGGCTTACTGTGAGCCCTGAGAACAGGGCTGAGCTCCTGGTGAAGCGGTGAGCTTCATATGTTTTTACGCCAGCTGTCTTTTGTTGGTTCAAGGGTGTAAAGCGATTTGATGCCAGACAGATGATTGTGGACGCTCTGGTTGAGAAGAAGCTGTTCAGAGGAAAGCAGGACCATGCCATGGCAGTTCCAGTCTGCAGGTACCAGAACCAGTGTCCAGGTTTTCTTACTGAAGCTAACATCTGTAGCTCCATGTCTCTGAAGAGGACAGTGCCATTGTGTGACTCTGTGTCTGTCCTGACTCCTCAGCCGATCCGGAGACATCATCGAACCTCTTCTGAAGAAGCAGTGGTTTGTTCGCTGTGACACAATGGCTAAAAAAGCTGTTCAGGTGATTTTGTCAGATGTTCAATAGCACAAGACCTGGGGCTTCGTTTATAAAACTGTTTACTTTCCATCTGACGCGAAGCGGCGAGAGCCATGATGGAAACGTTTTACCCGCGAGCTCCCTTCCAACTGGGAGTGATTCTGACGCAAAACGAGAGCAAAAGCATTCCACACAGCTTGTCTTGTGAGGTCATAAAATGGAGAATTGCAAAACCACTCGTGATTTCAGACGTTTGCATGATAACAAGCAAGGAGAAAGATGGCTACAAGTGTCTAAAAAGTCTGTGGCTTATTGTCTGTTACCATGGCTACGGAGGTCTCATGACGTATGTTTATCTGCATGTAACTTTTATTTTTATTCGCTTTTTTGGGGGTCAAAATGTTTCCTTTTTTCCATTTTTGTCATGATAGTTTTAAAATATTTTTTTGTTTTGGTTTCGTTGTTCTTGTGAAGATCCTCGCATATAAATAAATAATTGATATTTTTTTAACTGACAGGCTGTGGAAGATGGACATCTGGAAATCATTCCTCAACACTTCACCAAGACATGGAGGAACTGGATGTCCAACATCAGGTACCGGTTTTTACCATGCAGGTTCTAAGTGGTTCCGTGTTCCTAACCCCGGCTTTCCACGGGAGCCGTCAGCAGCACGTTACTGCAGCAGCACGTTATAGCTGCTGATGGGAACCGCTGTGGTCAACAGAACCTTTTCCACCGGAGCCGTCAGCAGCGCGAGTCGGCCGCGTGTCAGAAGCAGCATGTCGCGGCCTTTACGCGCCGGTTCTATTTTCTACGCGCGACGCCTCTGAAACGGGTCAAGTTCGAGATTTTTGGGGAAGGAAAGACAGGAAATCGGACGCGGAAATGGAGAGAAGCTACAGAGATTTTCAGAATAAAGAACGTGCTGCTTTCCGGTTGCTTTACTTTTAAAAAAGGTTACTAACTGTGCGGCCCCGTGAGAAGTTATCACCTAGCTAGCGGTCTCCTTTGTTTTTCAGGTCCGTATTGGCGATTATAAAACGGACAGAACATAAAAACACAAACCTTTTGGAGCCATGTTGTAGTTTTCTCCTGCTTGTTGTTGTGTTTACTGACGAAGTCACTCGTGTGACTTCGTGCTCGGTCGGTGACAGCTGCTCCCCTGCTGCTTCGCGTCTCGTGGGAAGGGCCAAGCAGCAGCTTACGCGAGCAAGACGTGCTGCTGCAGTAATGTGCTGCTGACGGCTCCCATGGAAACCCGGGGTTAAGTGTCACATGCACTAACCTTCTGAATCCAGCTGTTGGTGTAACACTTCATCTCCTGTTTGCTCCTCAGTGATTGGTGCATTTCCAGACAGTTGTGGTGGGGTCATCAGATCCCTGCCTACCAAGTACAGCTTACTGGTTCCAGTTCCAGTGCAGAGGTGTGTGTGTGTGTGTGTGTGTGTGTGTGTGTGTGTGCGTGTGTGTGTGTGTGTGTGTGTGTGTGTGTGTGTGTGTGTGTGTGTGTGTGTGTGTGTGTGTGTGTGTGTGCGTGCGTGTGTGTGTGTGTGTGCGTGTGTGTGTGTGTGATTAACTTAGCTCTATGGTTTATTCAGAGCCTTTTATCTGATGTATCCTGTGTGTGTGCGTGTGTGTGTGTGTGTGTGTGTTAGGAAAAGTGGGTTTGGGGCCTGAGTGCAGATGAGGCCCGACGGAGAGCTGCTGTGAAATATGGGGTGAAACCAGAAGAGATCACTTTAAGACAGGGTGAGATATAAACTCTCCTTGACCCTTGACCTATATTAGGCTGCTTTTACACTGCAGGTCTTAATGCACAGTTTAGATTTTTTTTTTTTGAGTAAATCCGATTTTTTTGTGCGTTTGTTCACATTATAACTGAAATGCGACAAGCAAACACTCTCCAGTGTGAATGGTTCACAAACCCAAAGCGGCCCGCATGCACCGAAGACGTCACACACAACACGCTGTGTAGAGTCAGAACCAGGAGAGGTGGAGTTGTGATCCGAAAGGCTCCGCTGCGCTGACAGTTCTTCACAATTTCAGGATCACACTTGTCAAGTCTCTCGTTTTGGGCTTGAAAGAATTTCATAAACAGTTTTTCTACTTATTCTCGTTTTTCCATATTAGTATTCCCTTAAAAAATGTCCCAGTTTTAATTTCACTCATAGATAAACTAGACTCCGTTATATACTAATCATTAATTGGAACAGTAAATGCTATGAGAATATACTAGACTAGACATTTTAGAATAGTGGTTAGTGGTCAGGACTCCCATTGTGGATTGTGAAACCCAAAGTATAAAGTCTTCAGGTAACCTACAGAGAGCAAATGAAATGTTAGGCTCGTAGCTAACAACACAACTTCAATAAAATGTAAATAAATAAAAACCAGAATCACAAACTAGAGCATCTCTAGAGATTTTTAGGTAATGTCTGCTAAAAACAAGCCGTTTCAAGAAAGTCCCTATGAAGTAGGAAGTTGAGAGCAGGTTTCGAATTACGGGGAGCTAAGGGGAGCCAGGCTCCCCTGAAAAGGTGATGGGCTCCCTAGAAGCCCTAAATGTACGCAGATCCTGTTTCTACCTATATTATGCCACTGATTTTGTGGTCAGTAGATCCCTTTGAACTGAATAGTTCAAAGGTAACTCATGATGTTTAAAAGGAGGAAGCCAGGCACTGGGAAAGGAGATGTATGGAGATCAGAGACAGCCAGGACAGGAAGATAGTCAACTAAAAAACAAGAAAACAAACAGGGGCTTGAAAAGGCTGGTAGATTTATCCCACCACACATTTTAAACTGTACAAAGCAATAATTTATAAGAATGTAATATTTATGTATATTATCTCATTCAGATCACCTTCAAAACTCAGTCCCACACTCAGGCCCATTTCAAGGTGTTTGGGGGCCAAAACAAGCTGAAGGGAGAATTTCAGAACGATGGCTCGTCCATCTGCAGAGCTGGCAGAAAAAAAGTTGACACACCTCCAACTTATCATCGTCTCTGAGATCACCACGCAGACAAATAAGCTACAACTGAGTCCGACTATAGTGACTGAAGTGATTAAACAATAATATTAGAACAATCCAGTGAACAAGGGCTAACAAGGTAATGTTCTAAATTCCCCCTGTATTTGGCTACAAGTAAGTACGGCAAGCCATTTTAGCATCTAATCAACAACACCTCTATGTAATTCCTATTCTACACAGAAATAACATAATTTATCCTTTTCCAACTAATATTCTTACTAGTCAAAAATGAAAATAAAAATATCAACAAGTAGAAATTATTCTTAGTTATAACTGCACTAGTTGTCACGAGTTGGTTCAGGAGGAAGTTAGGACCCAAGATGCAGAGAACCAGACGGACGAGGCAGGGGTGGAAGATGAAATAAAATTCTTTATCTTAGGGATAATCCAAAAGGCAGGGAGCCAAAAACCAAAAATCCAAAAAGACTAAATCAGAGATCAAAAACACTAGAAGCTAGAGACACTAGAAGCACTGGAAACACTGGAGAGCGAACGAGACCGAGTATGACAGAAAACAAATGGACCGACAAAATACTGTGACACAGACAGGGCTTTATACACTGGGGAGGATGAGAGGGAGATGAACTGCACGTGTGTGGGGAGAGAGAGACCAGGTGAACTCAATTACTAATCAGGGAGGAAACTAACATGATCTAAGAATAAAACCTAAAGACAAGAAGAGCAGGAAACATAACTAATAATCTAAGGGGGGAGAAAAACCACAAACACCGGTGGGAAAAACACACTAAAGAGACTAATAACACGAACAGCTGTAACTAAAGGAAAATGACCTAAGAGAAAAACCTAAAAACCAGAAGGGCAGCAAACATAACTAATATTCTAAGAGGGAAGCTGAAACTAAAGGAAAACACTACAGAAAGAAAAACTACAGGGGCGTGACTAAAAGGGGGCCAAGGGAGCACAGGACCTGGGAGGGGGATGCCTGAGAAGGGAAACCTAGAGAGCTGAAGATCTGGGGGCAAATGGGGAACACCAGGAGACACAAGAGGAAGACGCAGACAAGGACACGTGAGGGCGCTAGGAGACACAAAAGGAAAACCTAGAGAGGGATGGAGAACATAAGGAGAAACATGGGCGGAGATGCAGACGCAGACCATGACACTAGTAGGAATTTAATATCTCATTTCATCTGGTGTCTCCATCCTTCAGTGTTGACTTGAATCAACAGCATGTTAACCTGACCTGACCAGTTCTCTGCAGTTAAACTTTTTCTTCTTTTTACGCAAACTCAGCTGGCTAATGGGCAAATCTAATTAAGGGTATTTTTTAAGTTTTACGCTAATATATAATAGTGCTCATAAGAGGGTTAATAATGATTAAAATCTTTCTGGAGCTTTAAACTGTCCCAGTCTCTGATGTTACTGGGACCTAAGGTAGCTTTGCCAGTTGTGGGATGTTAAAAAACACTAAGTTTCCCTCCAGAGGCGCGGCATCTGGGTGAAGGATTTTCTCCTGTGTGACCTACAGGAAACCTGTCTGAGCTCTTCTGTGATTCACAAGTTTAGTTTTCAGGTCCGGAAACAACATCAAGCCAGTTGTGGCTCTCTTTGAGTCAACGTTCTTAAAAACAAAGAACCTTCTAATCAGTCAGTAAGCTGGCTGCCTGCGTCTAATTCCATCCATATGGATCAATTTTGATGACAGCCGTTCGTTCATATATAGACGTAGAGAAGGTAGAATCATGTTGATTGAGTAGCTCAGTGTGATCATATCTGACTTCCGCTGAATGCAGATTACAGTGTAATTTCACAAGTTGTACTTGTTTGTTCTTCCATGTCAGACCCAGATGTTCTGGACACCTGGTTCTCCTCTGGGCTGTTCCCTTTTGCTATGCTTGGCTGGCCAGAACAGGTACGGCTCAGTGAGCATCAGAACCAACCTCCAGTAAACTTCTTATCTGACGTCTGATTGTCTCCTGCCACAGACATCTGATCTGCAGCACTTTTACCCCAACTCCATCCTGGAGACAGGCAGTGACCTCATCTTCTTCTGGGTAGCCCGGATGGTGATGCTGGGAACCGAGCTAACGGGCCAGCTCCCCTTTAAACAGGTTGTTCATCAGAACCTAAAGTTAAAACTCGGACTGGGAGCTCAGCCTGTTGAGGTGTTGTTCTCATTGCTCCTCCCAGGTGCTGTTCCACTCCCTGGTGAGGGATAAATACGGGAGGAAGATGAGTAAATCCCTCGGGAACGTCATTGATCCATTAGACTTTATACATGGAGTTTCTCTCCAGGTGAGGAAACAAAACTTAAGGTCATCCTACCCTAGCCACTTGAACATTCTCATGGTTGCTTTACATCTCCTGACAGAAAAAAGCTTTTGTTTTTACGATGAATACAGGAGTCACCCATTCTGTAGTCGTAAAGCTGTGGGAGCTGTTCCGTCCGAGCTTAATCATCTAAACAGGTTTTCTGTGTCCACAGAGACTTCAGGAGAAGGTGAAGGAGGGAAACCTTGATCCTAGAGAACATCTCGTGGCTCTGGAGGCCCAGGTCCTCTTCTCTTTAGTAACTGTAACTTTACTCAGATTTATTTACTACTTTATTCCGATCCTATCTGTTGTGTTTGTCCCCTTCAGAGGAAGGACTTCCCTAAAGGGATCCCTCAGTGTGGAACTGATGCTCTGAGACTAGCTCTTTGTTCTCACAAGATCCAAGGTAAGGGTGATACCTACACTGAGGTCCCACAGGTATCAGTCTCACTTTGGCAGCAGGTTCCATGTCTGACGTTACTCTTTTTTTAGTTTTACAGCCTTTGTGAATTTTTATTAATGTTCTTAGTTGTTTATCCTAATCTCCAACGATTTATTTTACTTCCTTTTGAAACAGGATCGGTCGCTTGAGTTTCAGATGAAAATAGTCTTCTACCCCTATTTCCCGCATTAGCTTCTGATAGAAAATAGATGGGGAAACGCTGGGATTAGAGTGTACACGTCACACTGAAAAGTAGCATTCATGGACTCACCCCTCTTGGCTCAGTAAGCAGAAGGCTGCTGTTGGTTTAGCCTCCAGGAAACCGCAGAGAACGTCTCGGCGAGTAGAAGCTAGCCACTAGTATTAGCAACTCCACCACACAGCAGAACTCTTCCAGGCTCATGATATTTGTGGAGATAAAACATCAACATTCCAGAGCAAACAGAGTCAATGGTGAAATTGCGCTGCGGTTAGCCAATCAGAGGTAAGATTTTCGTCTATCAAGAAAGTAAAACTCCAAATTCTGCTGTTTTCTGCTCCGGCTCACTTCCGCTTCCTGGAACAGGAGCACCAGAGCTTTTATCCACAGAGATCTATTCACAACAAGGCATACATTCATCTAATTCATACTAGAGACTACCACAAATGTGTTGAATAAAAGAGAGAACTTGGTTTTTAACAAGTCTGACTTTAGGTGGTGCGGCAGCTCATCTGTGATACAACAGTTGTCTTATTTAATTTGTAAGATGAGTCTTGTTGTGTTTGCTAAAAGAGAACAGTCTGATACTGGGATCACTAAGCCATTCTTATCTGTACCGGGTCGGCCCGGGCCGGGTAGCCCCAGTCGGCCCCAGCCTGGCCCGGTTGTTTCCACACATCCTTGCCTTAAGCCCATGTGGGCTGATTCTACCCACCAATCAGAGGCTTGCTCTAATGGAAGGTGTGAATTTGCTGTCAGCAGTGGGTGTGTTGGCCCTGGTCGGCCTGAAGCAGACCCCCTCGAGAAGAGGGCTGAGAATGAGCCTTGGTTGGCCCGGAACAATACCAGGCCACCCAGATATGTAAACAACCTACGCTACCCGGCCCGGGCCGACCCGGTACAGATGGGAATGGCCCATAAAGTACATCTGGTTTAATGGTTTACTGCTTTTGTCCTGTTTGCTTCCCAGGTGAAGACATCAGCCTGTCAGTCTCTGAAGTCCTGAACTGCAGACACTTCTGTAATAAAATGTGGCAGACTCTAAGGTTTACCCTGGGGGTTCTGGAAAATAGTCCAGCTCCGATGGGAACTCCTGAAGAGGTACAGGTGTTACAGGAACACACTGATAAGTGGGTTTGTGTTCAGGTTTTAATCTAGAATTAAATCGTACACCTAAACTGTACCGACTGTGTGCTCTCATGCCATGGTGTCCAGCTGACTGGCTTTTATTGACTAAAGTCCTGAAAATCATTTCAGAAAAACCTTTTCCTGTTTTATTTTCTGTGGATAAATGATGGCTGATAATTGAATATAAATGTTAAAATGAAAGCACAGACGTGCGTGCGTGTGCTCACATACTCTTGCCGTCAGTGTGACACCGCTGTGAGAGCCAGTCTAAGAGGATTGTGGACAAACTCAGTAAAACATTTGTTATTAAATGTAATCGCAGCCTTCAAAAATCCCAGGAGGTCCGGTTGTGCTTTTAGGCTAACAGCAACGAACTCCGACAAAAGTCAGTTGTTCTGTATCCAAACACTCGGACATTCTCCTTGTTGTTTGTGTTTACCACCTTAGAGAACGTTCTCTTCACGCTGAAGTGTTTCTGTGTAAAAGTTATAAATCTTACCCTGAATGGCCTCTACTCAAAGGTTTCACCCCGCATGACTCGTAACTGCGAATCCAAGCTAATGCTCACCCAGTCATCCCAGTGTGAAGTGGGGATCTGATGTCTGCGTGTGCTTTCAGATGGTCACTGAAGGGAGCATGGAGAGATGGATCTGCTCCAGACTTTACAGCACCATCCTCCAGTGTGAACAGGCTCTGGAGGTCTATGAGGTCCACGCTGCCACCTTCGCGATGTACTCCTTCTGGGTCCACAGCCTGTGTGACGTTTACATAGTGAGAAACAGAACTTAAGACACAGGAGACGCCTTCACAGATCCAGACCAGTAACCCGTGTGTTTTTTCCCCCCCTGAAGGAATATGCAAAGCCAGTTCTGCTGAAGCAGGACAAGGGGACAGTAGTCCAGACGGACCCAGCTCACAGTGACATCACCAAGACTGTCCTCTTTCACTGCGTGTCTCTGTCTCTGGCCCTGCTGTCCCCGTTCATGCCCTTCATCACGGAAGAGTTGTGGCAGCGACTCCAGCCCTTCAGATCTGATCCTGGGACCCAGACCAGCCTGTGTCTGCAGCCGTACCCACGGTCCAGTCAACTGGTAGGAACAGAGACGGAAACCTCTCTGGATTTAGGTCCCAGTTTAAATATATTAAAACATTTTATTTTAGGGCGCCTTTCTAAAAACTCAAGGCCACCAAATGAAAACATGGAGGCTGGATGAACTCAAACAAGGATACAAGCAGGAACTCTTAATGATGCACTCAAGGAAATACAGAAAGTGAATTTGCTAAAGATAGAAAATAGTTCTATTTTCAATAGTTTGATTGCAGCTGAAGTATTGAATTTACAATTTTCTAAAGAAAAAAAATGCATCTGTATTCGTTCCTCTGTAGTTTTGTGTTCCCCAGCCAAGGCCGAACAGGGAGCCAGATTCAGATAACATTTATTGTTTTAGAGCGGGCAAGATATGATGTTTTTCTTACATGATCTTTTTACCTGCCTGTGGTTTATTCTGGGTCTTGGTGTGGCGTGTCCTTGTTTTGGCAGGTTCACTGGCATTTCCCTGAAGTGGAAAAAAATTTCCTGTTTGTCCAAGAAGTGGTCCGAGTGACCCGCTCCCTGAGAGCCCAGTGTGGTCTCACAAAGGAAAAACCCGACCGTAAGTTAGCATCATTTCTAAGCAAACCTCACAAAGATCTAGTGTCACACACAAAGCTGCTTACTTGTTGTTTCAGTGTGGGTCGAGTGTTCACCCAGTCAGGCTCGGATTCTGACTGACTTTGGGTCGGCGGTCTTGACTTTAGGCAGAATCTCCAACTTCCACATCTCCTGTCCTGATGGAGCAGATCTCCCATCCACACAGTCCATACCTCCACCTAAAGGAAGCCTCATTGGTGTGGTGGACCACACCTGTCGGCTTCACCTGCCTCCTCAGGTGAGTTTCAGCTTTTCAAGTAAACAGGATGGAGGGGGTGGAGCTTAAAATGTTTAACCTCACATATCTGTGGAAACTTAAAAAGCAAGTCACGCCCTATGAGAGTAACTCCACTCCCATTTCCTGTTTGAAAAATGTGCCACAAGGAGACACTGTCTGGCAGACCGAGAGAGCGGAGCTGCTAACAAATACACAGGCTCACAGTGGCATGGTGAGATCATAAGGTACCAGCTAACATCATAGGGTACCACTTAGCTAATAGCGATGGCAGATTTAAATAAAAATGTAGTGCAGAGTTTTTACCTGAAGAGGGCACTTCACTGGCATTTTTAGGCAGAATATATTAATTTTAACTAAGATGTACTAAAGTGCCAAATTATTGACTACACGTGTGTATATTAGACACTCGTTTATATAGTTTATCAGCAAAGAAAAGTTGATTTGGTGGTGACTTGCTCTTTAACTTAGTGGCGTTCTTTCTGTTGTTCAGAATAAAACTCGAAACCTAAATGATGGAGAAACGCTCCCAGTTTTACCATGTTGACTCAGATCAGGACACACCGGACCAGACTGGTCGGGACATAGGTCACGTCTAACTGAATGCTTCCTCTTTCAGAGCGGCGTGATCTTGGATCAACAACTCTTGCAGCTTTCCCAGCGGAGAAGCAAACTAACTCCAAAACTGGAACAACTCCTCGACAGACTTCGGTCCTCTGACTACCAAACAAAAGTTCCTGATCACATCCAGCAGCAGACAGCGAAAAAGGTTTGCTCTTCACAGGAAGTAATCATTTCCAGCTGCTCCTCACCCCCCTCAGGGTGAGACCAGTTACTCCCTCACCCATCCCTGTGTGTGAGGTCTGCCATTTCATCTGCTTTTATTCCTGATCTGCTTCATTCAGTCGCAGCTGATGGGTAGAGGTGAGGTTTGGGGTGTAGACTCAACAGATTCAGATCCTCTGTTTACCTGAGAGTATGAGAGATATGTAAAGCAACGCTGATTAGAGAATAGCTCTTAGCCTCGTTCACTTGCATGATTTTTTTTAAATGAATGTTCTGGTGACCCATGAGCTGACCGCAAGGGGAGGAAATTTTGACTCTATGTGGCCAAAAAGCTTCTCCTCTACTAATAACCACGTGCAAATAGCATTCATAAAGTGACTGTTAATGCTAGTGTTTTGTTTCTGTGGTCAGGTCTTGGCCTTGCAGCAGGAACTAAAAACCATTGAGGACCAGATGAAGGTCTTGGAGAAGATCTGATCAACAGGACTACAGCCTCCCGGGCAGAAATGGTTTACATCTAAAAACCAGAGATGAAGATCTCTACCCAGCTTAAAGCTAGACTGTAAAGACATGAACATGGAGACTCACCATCGTTACCTGGTTTGACCTGATCTGAACTGTGATTTATTTATTCTCCAGAACAATAAAAAAAAACTATTTTTCACTCTGAATGTGTGGGAGCAGGTTGTTGGAGTGTCAGCCACATAATGTTGTGTACAGGAATAATGTTATGTGAACATTTTAAACATTAAACAAAAAAATGATAATAGAACATTTTTATTACACAGACACTTATTTACAGTAAATAAACAAATGTTCATCAAATAGTTGGTACCGTTCTGTTAAAGACACAAAAACACACACTGGTCACTGAAATATCTCGAAACAGACAAAAGTAATACTTACTGAAATTCAGCTAATGAAAATCAGACATTGCTTTTGAATCGAATCTAGTCCATGCATGTATTACTTCCAGACTGCGTGATAGTAATTCCACCCCACTCACCATGTGAGAGTCCTTACCGCTTGGCAAGGAGTTTGGAGCTGGAAGTAGGCAGCTGGGCCCGCCATCATATAGCCGTGGGGTCTTGGGGAACCCATCGGACTGCAAACAGCAATCAATACTTTATTAATCCCAGAGGGAAATTAGAGCAGCAGGTCCAGCCACTTATCCCAATGATACGCTTTGTCACGCTGTGGCAACGGACTGTTCAAGTCCGTGCTGATGTGCTTTCTTAAGACGTTTAGCTTCTCATCTGAGGAGCAAAGCTAAATGTCTTCAAGAAACCAAAGAAGTCCAGTTGCCTTTATTCGAACCTCTTTCGACATCTAACATGTTTTTCTTTTGAAGGAGGTTGTGGTCAAAGAAAGAAGTCCACGTCCTCAATCTTCCAGTGGTTACACATCAAACATATTAGAAGCCTCTGGAAATCGAAAGAATACCATCTTTGTTGTTCCCTTACAAGAAAAGACAGAAACCAATTCAGTTCAGTGGTGGCTCTTGCGTAAAAGCTGTGGCATGTGTTTTTGTTGCCGTGTATCATTTGCCAGATGGAAGAAGTTTGAAGGGGAGGGTTAGCAGGGTGGGTTGAGCTGCGCCTCTCAGCACCTCATGAGCAAACTGCTCCAGTTGTCTCAGGTATAAAGGGCACCTTTTCCAGATGGCATGTTTCAGCTGCACCCAAAGATGCTCAATAGGACAGGTCAGGGCTCATAGAAGGCCACTTTAGAATAGTCCAATGTTTTCCTCTTCTCAGGTGTACTAGCTGTGTTTTAAGTCATTGTCCTGTTGTAAGACCCATGACCTGTGACTGAGACCAAGCTTTCCGACACTGGCCAGCACATTTCTCTCCAGGATACCTTGATAGTCTTGAGATTTCGTCGTACCCTGCACAGATTCAAGACACCCTGCAGATGCAGCAAAGCTGCCCAGAACACAACAAAGCCTCCTCCATGTTTCACAGTATTTCAGCAATGGTGTCCTCCTTGGTCATCTCCATCGACATAGGTCATCTCCCATGTAGTCTACTTTGGTTCAAACAGCAACAGATGATTCGATCTGATACTGATGTTCCTTGAGCTTCAAGTTCACCTTGGATCTCTTTAGAAATTTTCAGGGTTCTTTTGCTACCATTCAGATTATCCATCTCTTTGATTTGACATCAGTTTCCCTCATGCGCCCCATCCACGGAGGTTGCAGACCCATGGATCTGAAATTTCTGAATAATATGTGCAACTGTAGTCACAGAAACATCTAGCTGCTTGGAGAAGATATTATTGCCTTTACCTAGTGATGTTACGATGAGGTCCGAAGCTTCAAAGCGTGTGTCGAGGCTCGCTTCATCTGGGGGAGGAGCCAAAAATGATGACGCCCACTGCATGGCTGTACCACATGACTGCTTCAGGAAGCTGTTCAGATTTTTTGCGGGAGGTTTGACAGCTTTATAAACCGCTCAGGCTCCTATCCAAAATGTGGGTTTGTGTAGGCGAGCTGCGGCCAGTTTGGAGTTTGGATAGGAGAGTTTGGTTAGCATTTACATAGTTTAGAGATAGTTTGTTTAGGACTTTAGATTTAGTTTAGAGATGGTGAAAAAAAATTAAATTACATTGAAAAAGTTTAGAGATAGTTTTGAGAGTATAGAGATAGATAGTTTGAAGGTTTAGGACAGTGGTGTGATATAATGACTTATTCAGTTTTCTCCTTTAAAGGAAAAACTTGCACAAGTGCAGCATTGTCTGGGAATGAGCAACTTAAAGCTAATACAACAAGTGGAGACCAGATGGAACAGCACTCATTTGATGCTACAACATTTGGTGGAGCTAAGGGAGCCTGTAGGAGCAGCATTAGCTGGCTAACAAACATGACACTCCATTTTTAACATCAAATGAGTTCACTATTGTTGTAGGGTGCATGTCTTTGTTGTCTCTATTTTATGATGCGAGAGGAAAATGTGTCTATCTCTAAAGTGATCCCCCTAATGAAAATACTGGAGCAAGCACTTCAGGAGGAAGTAACAAAGCCAGCGCCTCCAGTCGCACTGGAAATGGGAGAGTGGCTCATCAGGCAACTCAGAGAGAAGCTTCACAATCTGCAGTCAATAAGCATCGTGTCACCTGCACCGCCGGTTTAAGGTGATAGGATTTTTCAGCCAAACAAAAGCATCTGAAGCAGTACAGCGAGTGATGTCTGAGTGTTCAACTAGCATCCGTTCAACGCAAAGCAGAGAGGAAATCCCACGTGCTTCCACTTCTAATGATGTGACAGGCGGTACTATACCATTTTGAAATCAATTATTCATATTAAAGCACTGAGTAACATCAAATGTGTTTTCCTTTTTAGGAAGCAAACTGTGGTATCGTTTAGACACCAGTGTCCAGGAGGCCAACAAGGTCAAATATGTGACAGCAAATGCCACTGTGGAGGTCCAGCGCTACCTGTCAGAGCCAAACATCAGCCGGCTGAAATACATTGAATTAACATGACCCTTTGGTCACATTATTTTCAGTCTTTTTTTAGGGTACCATCATTTTTGTCCAGACCTGTTCCAAGAGTTTATTTTTTAATATAATTACGTTGAAGCATGGTTGAAAAGCAATGTTTGAGTTTCATTTGTTACATTTTATATAAATTGTATTTATTACTTGTGTTTAAAAAAAAATAAATAAAATATTATATATATATATTTTTTTTTATTTATATATATATATATATATATATATATATATATATATATATATATATATATATATATATATATATATATATTGTATTTATTACTTGTGTTTAAAATATATATATATAAAATATTATATATATATATATACACACACACACACACACATATATATATATATATATATATATATATATATATATATATATATATATATATATATATATATATAAATTATGATTTTTTTTAAACAGTCCTTATTGATGACTGAATTTATGCGGGTGCATTTATGGATTCGGCAGAGCTCGTGTGGATTCGGGTCATGATCGTGAACCCGGAAATGTGTCAGAAGTGTTAGAAGAAGAAGCCGTCACGTTAGTAGATCCGCCTGCAGTGAAGTTGCAACGCAGACTTATTAGCCGGAAGGCTATGGTACTCCGGGTGAGACGCTGCTAATTAAACAACTGTTTCCGTTGAGCGACCTGGTATGTGTCATACAGCTTCTAGCTAACAAAGCTGGACCTAGAGCGCAGAGGGGCTGGAGGTGACGGTACCAGACACCGGAGATGTGCTTCAGCAGGAGGCTCCGCTGTGAGAGCTAGCTACAAGCTAGCTGCTCGGTGTTGAATGAGTCTCGGTTCGTTTGGGTTTCGAGCAGCAGACCCGGCTGCAAACAACGGGATGTCAGGCTAGTCCGTCGGTTTCTACTGCTGCAACTTCTCGAGGACTGTTCTTACAGAGAAATCCTTCCGTGTTCGTTGTTAGCTATATGCTAACAGCTGTTGTCAAATGGTTATGGAATAGGTAACACACTGAAGCGTGTCAGGTGTAAACCAGCTCATAGATGGGTCAGCTGGATTACACGTGCGAGGAAAGATAATCTGGCTTCTTATTTACCACCGAGGGGTTGTTGGTTCTAATCTTACAGCGCAGCAGTCTGTACTGGATCTGATTAGCTGAGGGGCCAGAACTGGGTCCACATTGGAGCAGGTGGACAGGAACAACAGCTGATCCAGTTTTTGTTCAGAGCTCCACAACTCACAGCTTGATCAGCATCTTCTCCAGCTCATCGGTTCTGAACAGGATACCTGTTGGGGTCTCCAGGTCAGGTAGTTCGACTGGTTCCGTTGGACTTTGGCCCAGAAACGAACTGCAATGTCCTGACTTAGTTTTATTCTGAATAATCGGGTTATGTGTGTTTGAGGAAGAGGTTTGGATCGGTTCAACAGGTTATTATGACATCTGTTTAAATTAATGTACTTGTTCTAAACCACAGCTTGTGATTTAACACTAATAAAAATAATCATGTTAGTGGGTTTTCCACAGATGTTTGACATCTGAACCTCTGGATCAATATGTTTAATAACCCCTGAGGTTATCTGATAGAAACTGCACCAATTTGGGTTTGAAGACTTTTCACATGGATGCCTTGTGTATGTGTTGTTTACCTTCAGCCAACAGGTAAGAGTAGATCTGTCTGACTGCAGCCGGTGTTAATCTAGTCGTGTTTTTATATGTATCGGCTCTAATTGGTTTAAGTGTCTGAAGCTCCTGGAGAACTCAATTGGACCTTAATCCTTTCTTCATCTCCCATCGATGTTCTCACACACCTGTGAATTGGTTTACCTATCCTTGATCCCTGAGGTGGAGCTTCAGGTTTAAACTAAACCAAACTGAGGGTTGGTTTGACTCATTCATAGCAAAGTGTCTTCTACTCAGACCTTGTGTTTTTGGTGTGTGGGGAGCTGTTAACCTCTGGTTAAAGATTTTATCAGAACATTTACTACTTCAAATTAGGAAACAGAACAAAACTTCATTAAAACTCTTA